GTTAATCGTTGCTTACAGATATACATTCAATTTCCTTCTGTATCCTACCTTCCTAATTTCCCACCTACAACAGTGGCTGCACCCATTGCACGTAAGAAGTATGTCCGTTTTTTTAACCCTCATTCTTCCCTTAAAGTTATTAAAAACTGTTGAATTTAAATGAATTTTTTTTATATAACATTAAGGAATTTATTTAAAGCAATATTCGGCTCAAAATTAAAACATTCTGATTCCCAATTTATAGTTCTGATTAAGTGGTTTAAGTTTTTAAAGTTTCAGAATCCGAGTTATAATCATATTTCATATCAATAGAATAGCAATTATTTAAACTATCACTACTATTTATCCAAACAATAAAATCAAAATGGTCTGTTATACTACATTTTAAAATATAAGCACGAATATCATTTTCATTGATATTATTAACATATAAATGATCAATACAAAAACTACTAGAATTTAGTACGCGGTTTAGTCCCTTAATAGCTCGATAAAAATTTAAGATGGCTAATACATTAGAATAATTTAAGACATGATCATTTGTGGGTGACGCCATCAAAAATAAAAGAAGATTTTTTTTTGCTTTTGTTATTATATAAATATGCTTCAAGAGATTCAATAAAATTAGTTCCATTAGTAAAAGAAGGATATTGATATATAGACCAAAAATAATACATGTTTGTATATAATGTAACTCCATAGAGTTACATTCATGTAAAAGCATAATTCTACAGCTTATTATTTTGTATGGATTATTTATTAATATGGTGATCAGCCTTATAAGTAATAGTATAAGAATGAAATAATTTATATCCATTTATTATTAAATTGGAATCCATTTCAAACCAAGTTTCACAAAGTATAATAATATAAACACGGTCTTCTATAGAAGTTAATAGAAGTAAAAAATCATTTATGTGATATATCATTTGTTTTTATACTCAAATTATATTTTTGATATTTATACTATTCTTCTCGCAATTTAGACTTCTGTATCTACATTACTTTTATTCAGTACCTAGTTACTGTAGTAAATTGTAATTTTTATTTTATTTTATTCTACATATATGTATAGCGGTATCTATTATAATATTTTCTCCAAGAAATTGTACACTGTATGACACAATTTGTACATATTATTCAATTTACATATGTAATCATACTCTAACGTTCCTAACTAATAAGTTATAATGTCCTACAAGTATAAATCTTATAGTTATTAACAGCTCTAAAATTATTTGCAAATGGCTCTTACCAACAAAATATTAAGAAAAATCGTGCTTCAACTTAAGGTCAACCTTAAGTAAATGCATTAAAGATGTTTGTGATGCATTAAATATGCGAATATTTTTAATAAATATACACAATTTATATGGCATTAGATAATTATAATCATATTAGGCAGGAGTCAGTATAACAACAATTTAATAAACATCACGTTTTAGTCCGAATACCTACCACCTGTCTACGTCTACCCTAAGCCACTGACATTTTCGCGAGCCGAATAACCACAGTTTGAGTACAAATTCAGAATCTGCTTTTCTTCCCCGATATTTTAATTTAGGTTAGAAAGTGGCTACGGGACTTTCAAGTATTTGTAAACCAGTTCCAAAGTAAAACGCTTTTACATACCTTAAGCTATTGCGGTCTTTCAGTTAGCTTCTAATCGTACATTTGTGCTTCTTTAATGCCTATCTAACGCCTTTTTGGTCATTTCAAGCAACGAATGATAAAATAAATATTAAAAGCTTTTGTAATTGAGTACCCATTATAACAAAATTGATTCAAAACGTGTACCCGAACATTCAAAATATATCTTCTAAATCACTGAAATGGTTTCAAGAAAGGGCTATTTTGTCACCATTTCCCAACTGAGTTTCTTAACTCTTTAACGCCTTCTGAAGTCCCACCACATACACTGATTTTAAAAATAGGGGCACCTATTATTTTAATGAGAAATTTGAGCCCACCCACACTTTACAACAGTACAAGACTACAAATAAAAAATTGAGAAGTTCATAACTCGAGTGCATAATCTTAACGGGCTGTGGTAATGGAAAAACTGTTTTATTACCAAGAATACCAATTATACCCTCAAACTTACCTTTTAAGTTTAAACGTATTCAATTTCCCGTTAAATTAGCATTTGCAATGACTATAAATAAAGCACAGGGACAAACACTTAACGTTGCTGGAATTGACCTAAGCGTTCAATGTTTTTCTCACGGTCAACTATACGTCACCCTGTCACGTGTGACATCCAGATTTAATTTGTATATTTTTGCCCCCGATCCAGAAAAAGTCGATAACGTCGTTTACAAAGAAATTTTTTAAGTATTTGAATTATCAAAATACTGGCATAATTCATATCTTTTGTTCCATCCATAGTTATACCTACAAAATTTACATACACGAACTCTAATTTTAGCGCTTCGTACATTAAATCTATTAAATAAAAAAAATTTGCAATAAGCATCAATTTTTCTATTGACACAACCGATATAAGTTTTTTTCAACATTATGAAGAATCCGCGGTGGCGACGCTAAATTTATATGGCTACATTACCACGGATACGTGACTAAAAGTGGTCTAAAACAAAAATAATCATCCAGAAAACAAATAGCAAATTAATATTTGAGAAATCTTGCAATGGCGAAGCATTGCCGGGTCAGCTAGTATACCTATAATTATTAACTGTATAGGTAATTAATATATAAATCTATGGTGCCATAACTAAATTGTTGATCTTATTATCTATATAATAATATTAATCTTCACGAACTGATTGTAAAACAATAATTAACTGCCTTTCTATTCAAATACCTAGGTACGCGTTAAAAATATTAAAACTTGATTCTTGGAAAGGAGAGTGGTATAGCCCGTATTTTAGGGGCCGCGTATAGGCAATTACCACTACGATATTTCTGTCTTTATTTTTCGTTATTTTTCTGTCTTTTTCTCAATCGTTTCGAAAACCACTTGGAAAATCAAAAAAGTTACCGTACTTTCTTACTCACTGATCAGTTCACGGTTTTATTGAAAAAGTACTAGTCTTGAAATTAGAGACAATTTTTGAATGGTAGAAATATGAATAAATAAACTATACAAATTTAAAATAATGAAATCGTTTACGCCACGCCGTAAATATTAATCGTCCGTTTTCCCTACGCGTTTTAAATTTTACAGTTTTTATTTTTATATAATAAATACGGTACTTACTTTAAACATCGGATTTATTTAATAAAACTGATACATTTTGTTGCATCTGCGCGGTACTTCCGTGAACGCATACGGCAGTAACCACAAAACGGACTCCGAAATCTTCAGCGATTGGCTGTACAACCGAACGGCCAAGGAAATATTACGTCCTTGTAACTCTAGATCCCGGTGCCTTAAGTTAAATGACCACGAAAACGGGTACAGCTTAACTAAGGTGAGTCCGTTCTGTATTTCACTATACGCGTTTATGTCGAAAGACCACAATAACAAGTACAGAATAAATCAAGCAAATAAGCGAGCCTATACGAGTATTATATGTAGGTATATCAACCGGTAAGTACTATACAGAAAGTTAGTGAGTATTTACACGTAAACACAAAAAAAAAACCCCTTATAAATCCCAAAACGAGACTTCCAAGAGGCTATCAACATTTTATTTGAATACATTTTATTTTACTGGGCTCGTTCACCTCCTTCGTTCTTCCACCCGAAGCTTCCGGAGAAGCTAATGATTTATCGAGCACATATCGTAAATCTTGTTCAGTGGCGCAACCAACGGGGGATTTTGGATGTCGCCCTCTACATCCGTGTTTCAGTAATATAAATGTGTTAGAACAGTGTTTTTGTTTTTTTTTTTTTTTTTTTAATGTGAGACCCCTACAAAAAATCCTGGTTGCGCCACTGATCTTATTTATATCTCTAAAATACAATGTTATTCGCCTGATATACTGCAGCACATTGCTTCTTTAGCTGTTATACACTTCTATAAAATATCTTTATTACCTCATAATTAACTTAATGTTACGTTATAAAGCCATTCCGTTTTTTCCATTTTTTATTAAAACCCCTGGGAAAATCAAATAATGACCTCCCTAAAGTGCTACCCGTCAGATTTTATTTCAGTAAAAGTGCTACACTTGAAAATCGGAACAAAATAATTGCTGGTAGAAAAGTTGTTCACAAATAAAAATAAATAATAATTGTCGCTCAGAATCTAAAACCGGCCTCTTTATAAGGAGGCATATAAGCACCAACTAGACAAGTTTCAGAAAAGATGTAAGTACTCTTAAAATTTCCAAAACCAAGATTTCTGCTAGAAAACAAAAATAAAATAAAAATAATGAAATCGATATTGCCGTAGGTAAATTTATCCGTTTTTCCAAATTATTAAAAAACCTGCTTAGGAAATCAAAACATGGCTTATTCTTACCTACTTGCCAACTAGACATTTTTTTCGAGGAAAATACCTAATACTCTTGAAATTTGGGTTAAGATTTCCAAAATAATTAAATTTTAGTAGGTAGGTACTCATCGAACAGATGTTTTATTATTCTCGAAGATACAAAAGCTCCCTTTTAGCCTAGTAAATTTAAAATTGTCAACAAATCATCGACAACAAATTTTCTTTTCTCATATTAAGTTGTATTATTTTATACGAACAAAATTATATTCAATTAATGTAAATTAATTAATTCTCCCGCACTATCTATAAGCACGTGCCTTGACCCGCGTATTGGTTATGATTGTCCACATAATTTTTGTATGTCATTCAATAGGCACGGTTTTAACCACGGTTTAAGATAGAAATATCCGTGGTTTTAATATAGGTGCCTACCTATCTTTGTAACGCATGAATTCGCATAATAAGCACTTATCATCATTAAATCGATGACGCACGCGGTGAACAATACGCCGCACACGTGTGTCATAAAATACCAAATGTCAATTATAGGTCACTTTTGTAATGTTAAAAACATGTCATTTATTTTTATTTTATTTTTTCTGTACGTCAAACAAATCGAAAAATATGGTTTTAAATTAAAGACTAATCAAACAAAGGAGGAAATATTAAAAATACATTTGTTTTAATCTTACACTAGTACAATAGGTATCTAATAATACTTATTAATAAAAAAAAGTAAAAAACATACATACAGCACTTAGATGAATAAAGATTGATCTACACAAATTATACACTAGTACAATGTTATATTGTTTAATAATAATCAATTGGCTTTTAATAATTATACAGAAACTCGAACAAACCGTAATTATATGATTTGTTTGTCCGATAACACTTACTCGGGAATTCACTCGTAAGAAAACCATTATTATTATTAAGGCCATGAATAATAAATGTGTTATATTGTTATGGTTTCGGAAACAATATTCAATGTAATTTTTCTTTATGAAATAAAATTTGCACAATACAATATTATATTTTCATACATGCAAAATTGAATGAGTTACTTTTAATAGGTACCTATTTAAAACATATATATGAATATGCTTACATATATTTTTACACAATATTACTAGGTATCCAAAACACATTAATATAATTTAATTTATTTTTATTTGCCAATTTCTTAAATGAATGAAATACATATAAAAATGACACTAATAAATTATTTAAAATAAATAAAATTTATTTCCAAATCAAATGTACAAATTATTTATCACTTCTGAGCTTGTAAATCTGGAAAAAAAATACAATATATTATTAAAACTTTTAACAGTATAATATCCAGACTCCAATAACATAGTTTTTTTTTTAGTATTATTCAATAACATTTAATAACATGACTGCAATCGCTTCTTTATATTGTGTTAGATGAATGGATTTGCAATCAACCATATTTGGTTTTTTTATGTTGAGGGGGTAGGACCACAAAAAATATTTGTCTACTATAATTCAAATTTTCTTTATAAATCAGTATTTTATAGATTAATAATATCAAATTTGTTGTGAAATTTCTAAGGAAATAATGGTTAACAATGCTATAATATTGTTCATTTTTAGAAACTAAATAAAACAAAAATAGTTTGAACCACAGGCAAAATGTGTGCAATAAGTATTTTCAAAAACAACAAGTTCAACGGTAATGATCTGCTATTATTAAACAACAATTTATTATCTAAAAAACTCCTAAACCTAAGAATAATTGCATTGTGAACAGGTAATATATTGTTTATTCTTTTGTTTTTATATTTTAACCTAATAATTTGTTTGTACCTATTGTATGGATTTATACCGTATCATGTTTCCCATCGATTAGATGCCATTCAAAATCTCTATATAATATCTTCAAGTAGGTACATAGGTATTGCGTATTCACATTTTATACGATTTGTACTTATCTACAACATGATATTATAATATACCTATAGAGCATGTTACTGATAATAATACTATAATAATACTATAATACTTGTACCTACCATATCATACCTATGGGTTAAATATTAAGTTTTTAATAATCTTATCTTGTTCAGATTACATTTTTTCCCTGTATAGCAAATAATTTTATGAATCATTAAATAACATATTGCACACCAATGTGAAGAATTAATTTATTTGTCAACATTATTATAATATGTATCTATAAAATTGGTATTGTATTGGACTTTACGTAGATGATTAGGCAAATTATGTGTATGATCAACAAATATCCTATTATTTTGTACATTTCAAAACTAAAATATGTGGTCATAAGAAAAAAAAAATAAAAATCCAATTCTGACCTAAGAATTAAATCATAAAAATGTAATGCCATACGCCGCCCTTATCTATCCTATATAAGTTTGTAGATATCTATCAAAAAATCAAAGAACAAATTTAATACAATTTTGTAAACAATACTATCATACTACCAGATTATATAAAATGCCAGCATTAAAAAAAAAAAAAAAAAATTATACCTTCAGCAATTCATAAAATGTTTGTATTCAGTAATTCAAAGTTCAAAATTAAAAATTAAAAACTTGACTGAAAAATATTTTTCATCATTAGTAAATTGTTCATAACACTATTATATATTATACAGTTGTTTTTTTTTTTTGTCTTGATCAACAAACAGTTTTAATAATAATTACTTGAATATATGCTTCAGTCAGGGTAATCATCTGCGGAAGTATATCATTTACGTGTAAATCTTGCATCTCATACCATTTACTATTTCCTTGTTTCAGTACATGTACTCGATATGTTCCTTTATTCGGTTCCCCATCATGCACAATGTTTGCAATCAAATCATAGGAAGTATTTTTATGCATCGCTTTCACCTCGGGAGTTAGTATATCCCCAAAGTCTACATTCCTGAAAATAGGTATGTTTGTATAAACATGAAGTATAGTATGATTTTTTTTCATTTTTGAGAAATCAGTAAATAATTATATAAGGTGTATAATGTTTATTATACATACTTCACAGGAAAGTTTACAATGGTAGGATTCTTTTCAACAAAAAATGTGTTCTTTGTAAACCGCTGAAACAATATTCAAGGTTAAATACATACAAAAGAATAACATTGATTATTAAACAGCACTTGACTTGAGGGAAAGGTGTAAGGGATTGAACACCCTAATTAATTTTTTTTTAAATATACTTTTTTAATTGGATTGTATAAGATGGTATGTTAAGTAATTGATACTGTCAGAAACACACATTTTTTATAGATCATCATCATTTTCATAAAGCCATACAATTTTTTTCCAAGTCAAGCACAACATCAATTAGTCATTATAATAGATTTGCTAAGTTATCATTAATACCTTGATGTACAAAATTAAATACGGCGGAAGTTGTGTGATTTCGAACCGTTTCATAAAATTTTCCTTATAAGTTTTATACTCTTTTTCCGATTCATTGTTGAACTTGGTCAGAAGGGAATATAAACTGACCTAAAAAACAATTTAGTCAGTCATAATAAATATAGTGAATTATACAATCATCAGTCATCACACTGTGGTTGTATTTCTGTTATATATTATTTGTGTATATGTGTGCAAAATAACATATATTTATATAAGTATACTTGAGGAATTATGTTTTCCATGACTTCATCCTTGAACAACGGTGGTGGTGGCAAATCACAAGTTAAGTAAAGAAATGGTGATTCGGACACATGTTCAGCATATTCGTCAGTACACAACAAACTAAATCTTTGTTTTTCATCCAATTCAACAGGGGGAATCTTACGTGTTTTTACACGCATACTACCCATGAACGTTTTGTAAACAATACTCGAATTTCGACTTTTTTTGCCATTTAATGCTCTATGTAAAGAATTCAAGAACCACGATAAAAAGTCAATTGGATCACCTAAGATAAAAGAATAATTAATACCTAACCAATGAATAGGGACAATTTTAATTTTAATTACTACTTATTTATTAATGCTATTCAATTTTGGTAATTTTACATATATTACAATTTTTTAATAGATCATTTTAATAATTTGATTATTAGAAGGCTGTTAAAAGGTGTAAGCGACCATTTTCTCAAAATTCAATACAGTCATATTTGCACATATGACATATTGGCATCTGATATATTAATATAATGAAAAAATTTACTTTATCTATATGTTTTTTTATAAAACCCACAAATATTTAGTTTGTAATTAACACTAAATTGATATAAGCAACATCTGAGAAAATTTGAAATGACGTTTATTATAATTATTATTATTTGAATTATATCATCAATATAATAAAAATATTTGACTATTAATTACATATTATTTTATACTAAAATTACCAATGAAAACAATTTTCACTGTAGCATGTAATTTGGCTTTATCGTCAAAACGGCAACGCCAAAATAGCAGCGCCAAATCCGCAGCTCTGAAAAGTCCTGGACTCATTATAAATACTCTTTAGTTCATAGATAATGAAAGATTATTTATTTATTTTCTATGGTTTTGTTTTTGGTTATTTAAAATCGCTTGGACTTGAGGGTATTATCCCATAACTTTTAATAAACAAAAAAAAAAAAAAAATAGATATATATATTTTTAATAATTAATTTTATGCTCACCTTGTTCTGTAAACTGGAATTTTTTGCCACTCCACAATACAACTGCTTGTAACATTTCATGAGGCGATACGTGCGCTTTAAAATTTCGCGGGTTCCACAATTTTCGCATGAGTTCTCCAAACCTTTGCACCAACAAAAATACACTATCCCCAGGTGGCCGTTTGACTTTTGCATAGTTTTTTTCATCCAGAAAATAATCTCTCAATGGAGTCACGTTTGAAAGTGCTTGTAAAATAACATTGCAGTAGTCATTTGCTTTGATATTGTTTAGGCCCACTATACCAGGCAAGTATAGTGTCCCGTCAATTGCCCGGGACAATTTATCACTTTTATCGAGTTCAGCGATGTGTATAGACGTAAAAGTTGGATTCAGTACATATTTAATATCATCCAGCGAAGAATCTATTCATAATAGGATAAGAACAAATTTTCATAATAATACTTATGCAAATATACATGATATAGATGGAGCAGGTAGGTAAGTGTATTAAGTTATTATACTAACCAACTATTTCATAATTGTCAGGCAGACAGTAGAACTTCAAGGTTTGTAAATTTAAAAAGACATGATGACTTTCGGCGACACTGTGAGTATAGGCATGGGTGTTAGTGCCACGACCTGCAGTGATGAATAGAACATATTATTATTATAATTATATACCATTATTATTTTGATTGGAGCATGTCCAAAAAAAAAAAAAAATGATTAAAATCATAAATATTGATATTACCTTGAAAATATTTGCCACAAACCAAACATGCATATACGTTGATTCGCGACAATGATACAGAACACAATTTCTCAAAATCAAAATCCAAAACCTGACGGTTAATTGTGTCTAAATACGGGCATAAACGATGCACTTTTTTCACCCAATGATCTAAAACAATAAAAAATTAAATTAAAATTGATTTTTAAACAAATAAAAATTATACAAAATTTAAAGGGTAGTGTACCATTTGTTTAATGGCAGATTGTACATTCCATTGATAAGTTCACATTTTCCATTAAACAAAAATTAAATTAAATACTCAAAATTAAGTTATTTTAATAGTATTACTTTATTTGTTTAATTTAATAAAAAAAACCTTCACTCATTATATGAAAAAAAAAAACAACAGATTTCTCTACATAGCATAAATAAAAACGATGACCAAACTGGAATTCCCATAATCTACTAATAAATAATTATTTTTATTACATTTGTCATTCACTACATAATAAATAATAATGAATGCAAATTTTAAAATTACAGAACTTTACTGTGACTGTCCAATGTAAAACAGTTACTACATTACTAGACTAAAATACTCTAGCTTGTTTTTTTTTCTATAGTTATTTAATGAGCAGTTTTTAAAATTTTTTTTATTCAAATTGGTATTTTACTTTTTTTTAATATACATTTGTAGATATCTACAAAAACTTATGTTATTTAAAATATATCTAATTACATACAATTAAACACCTATGGCAAATATTTATTTAATAATATTTTGCCTACAAAAAAATGTTACTCAACAATACTCTAAACAAATTTAATTAATTCTCAAATTGTTTTTTTTTTTTAATATCCACTTCCTAGATATAAAAGCATAAAAGCAAATATCTAATTTTTATAAAATGTACTTCTTATTTTTATTTTTTCTATAATGTATAAATAGACAAATTAGTTTTAGAGTCATAATTTATTTTCTTCATTTCTTGCAACTTGCAAATTTTTATGAGCCATAATTTGTTAGTATTTGTTGAAATGATAATTCAGTAATTGGTTTTGTATAATTTTATTAAACATAACTTTGTACTAAAAAATATATTTTATTATTATTATCATCATTATTTTGTACACGAACTGTATGTAGATTAGGTTTAAATTTAAATTTTGTTGCATTTTCTTATGGCATGTTTAAAAAGAGAAATATAAAATTTTACTTAAAGATTATATGGGTATTTTCTTAACTCTGGCCAAAAAAATTAAAAAAACAATAAGTAAGTATTATAAGATTTAAAAAATTAATACCAACTTAAAGTTTGTCAACGATTTTGTACATACTTCAAACTTAAAATTTTAGTTTGCATTAATTAAATAATTTAATATCATCTCTTTATGTATTATCTTTAGTCATCAGATATTCATTCAAATCCAGGCCTGTTGTTACCGAGTTGAAAATTTATAAATACATATAATATCCGAATAAAACAATACTATATTGTACAAGTTTCCGCTATAAAATATTGTAACTAGTGATAGTTAACAAATATTAAAAAATGTGTTATAAATATATATTATAGTGCCTATTAAATATTTATAAGTTATTTAAAATAAATTTACAAAGATCCGTATCAATGCAAGTGATTAGAATCATAATAAAGAATAAAAAAACTTATTAAAAAATAACTTTAGTATGCAAAGTATGGAGAAGTTGTATTAATAACTAGGTAATAAATAATAAGGGATTAATATTACCTTTATACAATTTATATATATAAAAAAAATCATAATAATTTGCTAAACAAATTAAATATATATTTATGGTCCACAAAAATATTCAACAAAATAAAATATTTACAACTTCAGGTACTTAAAATAATTAATATTGCGCTAACTTACAATTTCAACATTGTAAACATCAATATTACTATAATATTCTTTAGTATAACGACTCTCAAACAATACTTAGAACTAACCCATATTTTCTAAAAAAATATCTAATTTGTTTTAATTTTTAAATATAAATTCTATAGCATTATTTAATCATTTAAATATAATACTAAACCTCTTCTTATATATATATATATATATATATTTGTATTATTACTCATAGTAATTATTTAATTGCCTTATCTTATGAAATATAAAGCTATATAAATTCTAAAGGCTTTGACAAAAAAAGTTTGAGAACCGTTGGCAAATATACATTTAAATTATTATAATGCATATAGATTGGTATACATTCATAGGTTTGTAAATTGTAAATAACATATTTTATAAATGTAATAAGTACTAAGTTTAAAAATGATTGGTGTTAAATATTTTTAATCTATACACTGTTCAATTATCAAGTACACAATATTAATTTTCGAGATTGTATTTATCATTTACTTAATAATTCTAACCAAATAATAATACATTTTAATATTAGTATAAATAAACAAATTTATATCCTTAAAACATTATGGCCAAATTTCTGGTGAACTCGGTTCTTGATTATTAATGACCTTATCAAAAAAAGTTATTACTTGATTCAAAGACAATGCATTATGCAAAGTTTCTAAAGGCCTTATTGGTGGAACCCCATCACAACCAATTATTGATCCAGCATAGCCTGAAGGCCCAGTCATTAAATCATGTAAATCTGAGGTGCTGGATGAACCACTAATCACAGCAGTACTAAACAAACTACTGGTTGGTGGCGATGCAGAAAACAAATGTGAAAAGTAACAATGTCTCTTGGCAGTAGCATTTTGAGGTTGACAAAATTTGAACTTAGGAGGTCCATCACAAGTATCATCTTCAGAAAATAGAGGGGTTTCAGAAGATTCTTTTTTATCATCTTCAGTAATAGAAAAACGGCTATGATCTTCTTCAATTTGTGGTTCAGTTACAGAAAATCTACTATGACCTTCATCTTCGTCTAAAGAGTCGTCTTCTTCATAATCTTTCTGTTTGGTTTTGAAATTACTACCGGTTTGTGGTCGAAAACCAGGACCGGGTGGTAAATTTTTCCTTACACAACAATTAACACCAGGACTGAAATGTAATTCTACGTGAAATCTTTCTTCGGATTTTACATCTTTAGTAGGATCTTCGTATAACATTATCACTATTTGTGTCATATAATTGAGTTCTGAAACAATACTTACATACTCCATTGCTCGACCCCATTGTTCGTCATTATTCATATCTAACAAACCACCAAATCTCAAAATAGATAATAATGAATGTATATGACTTTCACTAGTAAAATATAAACGTGATCTAACATGTCTTCTAGGACTTAGTACACCATACGAATATGTTGGATTTAATCTATTTACGGTTTCATCGTCTTCAACTTCTTCACATGGTTCTTCAACATTTCGTTGTAAATCAGATTTAAGTTTTCTCAGCAATGGTGTGCAAATTCCTTGACTTATGGTAACCTTTTCATCAACATCCAGCCCATACTCTTGTGGAATGACAATATCAGCCAAATATTTAGCATATGTATATAATTCTTCGGCTTCTTCAAACTGTAAGGTCCTTTGATTATGCTGTAAATCATATTTAATACAATCATATATATCAGGGATCTTTGATATATCAAATTTTTTATTCTTAGTAAAAAAGTCTTTTTCAATCTTCGACCATCTTTGCCCCATAAGTTCCCAAGTTTCCCCATGATACAGTACAGTATCTGCTTTTTTGGGATCATCTTTTTTAGAATCCACAACAGCCACTAATTTCTGTATTAATTCTTGCACTATTTCACAACATTGAACTGGATTTTTAACATAATCTAATGCCTCATCTATACTAATGGCTTTGCACGGATTAATCATTGCTCGATCTTCAGGAGTAAATATATGGTCATTCTGCATTAACTTGTGTAACTGTTCTTTAGTCATATTCTGCTGTTCACTTGAATCACGGTCATTGTCTAGCAAACCATTTGTATTAGCACTCTTAACCATTTGTACAAGAATGGGAGTCAATTCTCCTTCAAGAGCCAACAAACCTTTTGCAAATGCAGCAGCTGTCATTTGTACTCTTCCTTCATCACTAGCATAAATTTTTAAATCATGACGAAATGTAGAGTGTAATCTAAGTAGCCCCAATCCTTGAGTATCTGAATTTCTACCCTGGCCTCCAGGATACATACATCTAAAAATTTGTCCCAATTTTTCAGCTTGGACTCTTCCTGCAGGTGTTAATTCACCTCCCCACTTAAGAATAAGAACCAGTGATGGGTCTTGATTAAAATTGATGCTTTGTTCTTTTCTTGGTCTCCCATGAGGCTGATATTTCATTTGAACTTTACGGTTTATTCCGGAAAAATGACCATACATTTCTAAAACACTTTTTAATTGTTCAAGCTTTCTCTTTTTCTCTTCAAGTTCTTGATCGGCTTCATGATGCTCTATTTCATCTAACAGTGCTCTTGCAATATCTAGAACTTCTTGAAGTTGCTTAGGATGTTTTAATTTAACTTCTCCTTTAGTTTTACCCCCATATCTTTCAAATACATCAAAAAATTTTGAATGTCGAACTTCAACTTTCATTTTTTGTTTGGGAGTACGATCCCCGTGTCGTATAACAGCTACAACACACCGTAATTCCATCATTTTCCCAACAGTAGTAGGGACAATTGGAGGGTCATCTAACTGAAAAGGAACTGACCAAGGTATATGAAGTGTAGGTGCCAACTCTCTTAGTATCATATTACCTAATATTTTGGCACAATCATCATAATATTTATTTGAATTTTTAACAAAACTAAATCCATTTACATCACAAACAAAAGATTTGCCATTTGCTCTTAAAAGATCAAAGCCACAGACAGTTTGCTTAAATGCTAAACATACCTTACGGGAAATCATTTTTTCGGAATTACTGAGGATAATAGGATATCTTATCTCCTTACCTTCAGAATCTCGTTCAACTTTACCATCAAGTGCAGGTGATTTACGTGCTTCTGCATGAGCATAATCTGGACCAACAGTATATACTTTTACATCTGTTCCATCGGTAGGCATAAAATCTTCATATATAAATGATCCAGTTTTTCTAACTCTGGATTCTGGAGAATATACACTACTCCGGCTACCAATTTTTCGAAAAAGCCGTTGACTCCCACCCCCAGCCGAAGTAGGATAATAAATATAAATATTATGATCTTCAGCAGAAACTGGTTTTTCAACAAATGGCTTATTAAATACAACTCCATTAATTTCCACATGGTCTTCTGATTCTACTAATTCATGTAGATTTGGATCCTGTGACTCTCTATCTAAAACTGCATATCTAGGGATCAAAATTCCCTCAGATTCTAAAATTGAATACACTTGTCTTCTATCTTGAAGTGCGTATTGAGTTGGTAAATGATTTATTACCAACGGATTTCGCAGTTCAGCATATTTTATTGCTTTTTCAAGAGGAAATCCTTTAGAATGAAAAGATATCAAACAATCACAAATAGGCCATTCTTCAATAGGTTTTAATAACAATTCTTCTTCAAAAACTATCATTTTTAAATACTCAAATTCGGCAAGCCTATTGAGAATTTCTTTCATTGGTTTAGAAAAACTTTTTTTTTTCATGGCACATATACCAACAATAACTTGTTTACGGTCTGTAGTTAAAGATGCTTCCATTAACTCTTCTTCTTCAAGTGGCTTCATTGGCTCGAAATCTTCAACTAGAATGGTTGGTTGAGTTTTGCAGAGTTCCTGGTAGCCTTGCTCCATCTCTGTATGGAACCACCAAAACTTGTGTTAATGGCCAAGTAAAAATTAATTACTTAGCCTAAGTGATAATGAATAATTGACAACTTAAAAAGTTGCTTTTAATATATTTAGTATAGACATTATGACTTTTAAATTTTAGTCAAAAGATATTTAAAATAATAAAATTGTTTATTGAAATGGATTATTTGAATATATTATACTTATTTATTTTTTTAATAAGGAAATAGACACATTTTATATTGTTCATATAAAAACTTATTTGTATTTATTTGCAATTAAAAATATATGGTTTTTGTTTTGTTTACTTGATATCAATTATAAATTAAAACAAATTTGAGGTGTTTTAGTATTTTAAAGTAATCTAAAAAATTAACTACCTACAGAAGTAGGTCTACTGTAATCAAACATACACTCACTTTTAAAATCACATCCCAGAAATATGGCTATAAACTTTCAATTTTGATCAAATATATCTGATAAAAATACTTAAATTATAATCTATTTTAAAATAGATACTTAATTATATATGCAAAAATACAAGTACAAATTAAGTGTATTATTAAATATAAGCATTTAACTTGATATTTTCTACAAAATTTAAGAACGTTAAAAGCTTTAATAATTAGTGTACATTATTTATTATTTTAAATTGATAAATTGTAAAGTTTGATTACCATTAACAAACAAATAAATAAGCATGCAATAGTTTTTGAAAATTTTAAATGTGTAACATTTGATTTAAATATCACAATGATAATCAGATATCTATAACAAATAATTGAGAAAACATTAAAAGTAATGTAATTCAATATTATCTAAAAATAAATATAGCACTAGGTACCATATTATTATCTTATGAATTTTAAAACTGTCACTTATTTTAGAATCAAATTTTTAAATATAAGCATATTAATTTATTTTAATAATATTTTTAGATTCATTATTAGTTTTACAATTATATCTCATCATTTTCTTATAATAAAATGTTAGGAAGATACCTATAAATACTTTAAAAATATTTATGCAGCCTATTAATTTATAAAAACAAATAGTTTTTTAATGCAATTGCATAATTTTATACATTAGATTTGAAATAGCTGCATTAGTTTCTTAATGCTTAGATTCTATTCTATGGCTATTTTTTTTTTTTTTGTTACCTTTTTAATTTAATATGCATATTAATTGGGTGCTTACTACTTATGGATAGGTAATAGTATACACATTGAATAAATATTGACTTTTTAGTTTTAACATTTTCAAAATCTACTTTGTAAAAGAGTATTAAATTCAAACTTCTACAAAAATAACAAGCAAACTTTATTTTGTACTCATAATGACATGCAACATAGCATCAATATTAAAAACACACATGTAAAATCTAACCTAGTACATTGTACACATTGTATAATTAAAAAAAATGAATGATGTACATTTTATGGTATACTAATAAACAATAGAAATAATTAAAAGAAAAAAAAAATCAAAGATGAATAATGTTGCTTAAACCATGTAGTGTAAAACTGTTACTGTTATATAAGATAAAATTATCCTTGATTAATATAGACAATAGCTATAAATAATTTATGAATAGCAACAAATTATCAGTTAAATTCATAGCTTAAACTCTTAAAAAGTCAGTCCAAAATTTTGGTTAATGGTATACATACCTAATACTATAATCTATTTTACAGATACGCCATAGTTGAAACTAATTACTTACCCAACTTAAAATGTTAATAATACTAGGGCTAACAATTTTATGATGATAAATAAATTAACAAAATTATTTTTCATAATTTATAGAAAACCTATGTACCTATTTTCCATAGTTAAATTGAAATTAAAACATGAGTAAATTAAGGTAAAATAATATCTTATTAATTATCGGGATAATTGGACTTTAGATACCTACTAACTAATTCATACAATATTTTTAATATATTTGTACAATATTAAGACTAAAAATTATGGTGCTAAAAATATTTATAAAATATTTAACTAATGATAACATTAGTTTTTGAGTTATAACAATATTAAATTTTAATTTTTCCATAGTTAGCTAAACAAGTAATTTAGTCCTTTTTTAATGAATTTTATGTGAGGCGCAGTGGTCATAACCTGGGCTAGCAATGAGGAGATCTGTGTTCAATACCCAACAGTTGCTAATTTTTCAAATAAATTGATTTTATAATTATAACACTTTTAAAATGCATTTCATTTATACTGTTTTTATTTATATTATTAATTTAATATGGGTATAAATTATACAAAATTTACATATCTCTATGTAATGAATATTATTTTGATTTTTTTGGTTCAATATGCTAACCATCAGAACTACTCTCATTACTATAACCATCATAAATAATATAGTCATTCATCAAAAGTGGGTCATAAAATTTATCAGCATACTTAAATAATTACCTACCTAGTAATTATATGTATACATTTTAACAAATAATCATATTATACAAATTAGAATAGTACATTAAAACAATAAAACATATTTAATAAGTTTTACTTTATTGGAAGCTAGATTATTACAGTTAGTACATATTAATTTTTATTAATAAATATGTATTTATTAAATCTTGTAAACAAATGCTAAGTTAAATTTTGATTATAGGAACCTATTATGATTTTAATAATAAATTGATTGTAATCTATAAATACTTAAATTGGAGTTGCATTCAAAAACCTAAAACCTGAGCAATTTAATTTATATTTGTGAAGTGTAGTACCTACATATATTATTAGGTACCTGAGTGTTATTTTAATTCACATGAAAATTAGCCTTTAATATAATTTTTTAGACAGAGATAATATAAATGCATAGCTTGATTAATTAATTAGGTGTATAGACTGTTCCATCTTTTTTAATCCTACTTGGCTCTCATGTACTTAACTAGTTTGATGGGTTTTATTTGAAAATACATTCATACAAGTCTAATCAACTATACCTAAAATACTTAAAAAGATACCTAGATACTAATAGGTAGGTATACTAACTGTATTTAATAAACTCCTATCAAGTTATTCACACACATGCACATAATACACACTACCAAACTATGTAAAGAAAAATATAACATTTTATTTATTTAAATATATATCAATAAAATATTTATAAAAATTTAAGTAAGTAGGTACCTAACATAAATTTGAAGTTGCTAGGTATTTTTATTTTTGTTTATTAAAAATATTATTTTTTAGTTATTAGTGGTATTACCTGTCAATACTTTATTGTAAGCATTAATTAATCATATATAATACTAATAACAAATTTAATTTACCAGTCCTTGTGCTTTCGTCCTCATCTTCTTTAGAATTTCGATCCATGTCTGAGTGCGTTTCATTCCATTTCCTTTTACCATTCTGTTTATTTTCGTCAACATTTTGATTAAATGATGCCATTTGCACCTAAAATTATGTTTAAATGATGTATGTATAATTGATGTAAATAAGAAATAAAAAAATATATCCGAGTCGGTTTAGTACACTGCATTCATTCAACAAAAGTTTAAATTTCAATTGCATCCCTTTAATCACAAACTCCCAAGTACACAGCCTACCATAACAGTACTGTCAGTATTAAACTGATAAAAATCAAATAATAGTAGCAGCAAACTACCTATATTATGTAGGAAATGAACAGTTATATCAGTTATATCTTATATTCAGTCGTTATATCAACGAAGACAAACTTCACAAATGTGAAAATAGAAACGCGACTTGCAGCATGTAGTGTTCAATGAAATATTATTGTTTTGTTTGTTGTTTACTCGGGACTAGTCGGGAGTCGTCTCGACTCTCGTCACGAAACGCCAACGTAACGATGCAAACACATTACACACGTTTCTATTATAGCAAACGTTAACAATACGTTTCACCCAACGATGTTTTCGGTAATAAAAAAAAAATAATTTTGTTTAATATATTTTACAAAAAAAATTATAATAATTATTTTTAACAGGAAACGTTAATAAATATTGTGTAATTTACTGAATTATTGTTCAATGTTCATTGTTCATTTGTTCATTTAGTTCATTTTATGGAAAGTAGGGGTGCGTTCAGAAACGTTATCCAAGATTTCTGGGGAATTCACCAGAGAAAGATTTACCACCGCCCATTTAAATGAACCAACAAGTTATCAACCAAGTTACCTTAGGTATGATTATAGTTTTATCAGAAATAGATTAGGTTTTGGCCGCCACAAGGTAATAGATAAGAATACTATCCAGTTAATTATTACCTATATTACATTTTATATTAAATTGCTAATAATAATGAAATTGTAGCTATGGCTGCAAGCTGCTCAAATAAATTTCTTGTTGATTGTGAATTGAATAAACTGTTCAGTGTTGATGATGATGAGGTTACATTAAAGAAAGAATCTACAATTCAAATTGAAAAGTACATAGAAAATGTTTTTATACATTATTCTAATAATGTTTTTCAAAACTTTAGTAACATAAATTAGATAAAAATTGATAATTTTTTTTATTTCTTGTGATATATTAGTTTTTTTAATTACTAATTAGTAATAGTATAGTTCATACAACTACAACTACAACTTGAGGAAACCCTTTAAAAAAATTAATTTAAATCAGAAGTTAACAATAAACAGTTATAATACACACCTTGTTAGTTAATAAGTGTGATAGTAGGTCAAAATTATATCAAATAATTGGCGCAAAATAAGAAGTGGTTTGAACCATAAATACCACTGTCGTTTCATAGCCTGCAGGAGTGCGTTAAAGGAGGCGAACTATCCGGCCAGCTAACCTACAGGCCAACACTGTAACATTGTCATAAAGTCAACTATACTTATAGAAATATAGTCGTTCATTATATGGCGTGACTTTCAAAAAGTGATTCTGTAAAATTAGTTATAAGTCATCTGAGTTATTCAATGACTTACACTGTGTTTTAAGTCAGCTGAAATATGCGTACGATAATATTAGAAATTATTGTACATATAGTGCTGACAACATTGAAACATAAAAATTTAAGGTACTTTCATTATTTTTATCTTTTTATTATAATTTTTTATCATAAAGTAATTGATAAGAGTTTAATTTCAAATATAAAATTTAAATTTAAATAGACATATTTATTTTCCTAATAGTATACTGTAAATTTATTTTGGAAAATGAGCAAGTAAAATACATTTTGATATTTAATTTAAATTATTTATTACCTATAATAGCAACTATTATACATTTACTTTTTTTCTATTTTATACCACTGTACTTTGATATTATGTTTTCAGTTTAGAGAAACAACGGACTGGAAAGACGACTGATGGTCAAATTGACTATCCATATACTGTATTTTATATATTAGATAATATTATGATTAGAGTAGTGTTTAGATCATTTTTACTTTCTACATACCTATTTGAACTTATTGTGAACAGCTAATTCAGTACTTCGTTATCTTTTCAAAGTAGGACGAAGAGTTTCAACTAGCATTTATATTGTATCTCGGTAAACGAAATAACTTTATAAAATTAAAATCATCCAGTTCGAATGGATAACTAGAATCCCGTAATGTTCTTCTGTATAATCTAAATTTGTGTTTAGCAGTTTTCTTTTCAATTTCAAGATTACGTGTGATAAAAAATTCTATTGTTTGAATAGGTATGTATTGTTTTTATAAAAGCTGTAGAAATTAAAAAATGGCCAATATTTAATTATGACACAGATAACATTAAACGTCTAATGTTATCTGTAATTATAAGTCATCTAAAGCAGATTTTGGAGCATTATAATTCGCGCCACAAATAATCGACTTTATTATAGTCGCTGCGATTTCATAAAGACCGACTTAAAAATAAAATTCGTTTTCAGGAACGTAATTTAGTGGCAACGACAAATACTTTCTGAACGAGTCTAGCGACTCTGGAAAACGTTTCTGAGCGCGCTCTAGATTCGTATTACCATTTACCATTACTCCTATTACCACACGAATCGTATAGTTAACCAAGCGAGACTCTTTAGGTTACGCCTTTTCCCGACGGCAATTATGTCAATAATTTTGTTTAAAAGTAGAACAACGCACTCTACGGGTAATAAACCAGTCGTTACGTATGCGTCAATTACGCATACGTAACCAAACGCTTTGCTTTCACTCTACGGATTAATAAATGATTGCAGTATTAAAAATCGCAGCGTCAAAGACTGTCTCGTAGTTGTAGTATCATTGTATTCCACCAATTTCGTTCCAGAAAAAAATGGTGAGTAGAATAAACTATATTGAATTTGATTCTCTATGATGCATTAACTTAATCCCGAAAGTATTATTTTATTAGACGTGTTGTTACTAAATATCTGTAAATATCGTTTAGATTTTTAAAAATCCAATTTCCCATTCAAGTGTGGTCAGTTTGATTCTTAATTTCGTCCCCTGATATCTGTAGCCTAAATATTTCCCTGACTACTGACTTTTTACCTCACCTATATTCATAAGCTTGCTCACGGGTGAAGCAGGAGATGGCGACTGTCTCCCCTGCGAGATTTCTCACCAAAATATTTTTCAAAAACTGATAATTTATTTAGACATGAAATTCTCTTATAAATATGGGTTGTAGTCTAGCTCTTGAGTTCAAAAAAAAAAACATGCCAAAATATCGAAAAAACCACTCCTATATTTTCTCTTCCCCTCCCTTACCTGATTCACATTATGCAGTCAGAATATCAATTTTCCAATTTCCCAAAATTTTATGCGATATTTCCTTTCGCATTGTATAAATTATGTAGAATATTAAATTCAAATAAAGATCCATAATACATAATGTAATAATTATTAAACTATGTAAAATAGGTCTTTTTGCTACAAACTATTACATAACATTGTAAATAAGAACACAGCAATCATACAACTACAGAATCATACCGTAAAAGCGGTCGGAAAATTAAAAATCGAAATTTTAACTACTTACAACTTACTGATATTTAAGGTGGTTACACAAATGCTATTATATAACCTATTAATTGTTTTTCGATATTTTATCCTTTTGACGCCACTGTATTGATAGTGAAATCATATTGCGGTGGTCATAAGATGTGTGTAAAAATTTTCACGAAAGAAAATCTTGCATATTATTACTGGAAATTAGAAAATGAATATTCTAACTCCATAAAGTGAAGCAAGTATCCGAGGGGAATAGAAAATATAGAGGTAGTTTTTCGATATTTTGACATTTTTTTTTTTTTTGAACTCTAACAAGCTACAGACTAAACCAAAAATATTAAGGTGCTTTTTACATTTTCATCAAGATTGTAATTTTGTTAACATAATATGAATAGTGTATAGAATTGCTATGGAATTTTGTTAAATTATTTTTAGGTAGATATATATTACATTTTGGTAGTTAATTATATTGAACAATCTATTAAATATTATGATTATTATTAATTTAGGTAGGTATTTATTTTAAATTATGGAAGTATAGGCATCTTCTCAATTTAAATCAGTACCTATATAATGTATAATAGATTAAATTAATTGTAATTTTTTATTTGTTTGATAGCATTGAGGTTATTATATTAGTACAACTTAATAATTATCTAAAAATTGATTTTATATTAAGAATATTATTCTGACATGTATAAGTTGCATTTATTTTAATTATTTTAGGCTAGCCAATTAACCAAAGAACAGAGAGAAGAATNACTCAAACCATTATTTTCTAATCAATGGTCATTGGTGAAAGACAGAGATGCTATATATAAGGAATATTTATTCTCTGATTTTGTCGAAGTAAGTACAAATATGTAGGAAGTATTCACAACCATGTTTTTAATTAAATTGTAAGAAAACATTGTATTTGCATTTACTATCTCCATCAGGTAACAAACAAGATTACCTTAATTAGAAAATAAATTGTAATGTTCAGATTGAAATTAAAGTGTAAACAAAATTTAAAGAGGAGAATAATATGTGAAATATTAAATTTAAAAATCATTGTATTTCGCTTAAAAATTGATATATCAGAATATTATATTATATCAAAACTAACATACATATATAGACTATGTCCTTAATTTTAGGTTTGATAATAGGTAAATATACTTTGATGTTATAACTAAAAGCACAAAATGAACAAAAAGTATACATTTATTGTAATTTCATGAATTGAGGAATTTCACTGATACGGCATAACATTTTATATTTAATACATTATTATGTCCAAAATTAGAGCATTAATAGACTCATTTAGAAGAACATTTCTAAGGGTTGTACTTATTTTTTTTCTAAACAATTGTTACACAAAAAATTCTTCTTCTTCATTGACATCACAACTCTTCAAGAGTTTTTTCCGCCTAACCTAACCTAACCTAACCGACACCTCCCTCCACTCTTCTCGATTTCGTACCTTGTCTTCCTAATTTGATATCCTTAATTTCTCTAAATCCTGCTTTATACCATCTATCCATCGCTTCTTTGGACGTCCTCTCGGTCTCTTCCCTTTGGGTTTCCATTCGAACGCAGCCTTAAGGTAATCTGAGTTTGACCTTCTCATCACGTGCCCAGACGATTTTATTCTTTGTGTTTTTACAAAGTTGGTTATTCTTGGTAATCCTGTCAAATCTCGAGTCTCTTTGTTCGTTCTATTGCGCCAGCACCCCAGGTCGTTGTCATATACTGGGCCGCAGATAATTCTTAGTATTTTTTTTTCGAACGACATAAGTTTTTGTTCCATTTTGGATGTTAAAGACCATACCTCACACCCATATGTTAGCGTTGGTCTAATTATCGCCATGTAAAGATTTATTTTGGTTCTTCTAGAATACAGTTTAGATTTTAGGTATTTGGTTAACGAAAGTGATGCCTCTTCTGCATTAATGATTCGTCTATTTAATTCTATGGACCAGTCATTATTACCACTGATAGAAGCCCCCAGATATGTAAATTGATGCACTTTTTCAAATGTATGTCCTTGAATCACTACATTGTTGACATGGTTGTTTTCTGGTGATAGCTCCATCATTTTGGTTTTATTATCATTTACATTCAGCCCTATGGTTTTTGCTTCGTTAATGAGAGTTGTGGTGCTCTGCGCCACACTCTCTCCATCATCACCAACTATATTCAAATCATCAGCGAAACCTAAAATACCAATCTTGTTTGTGCCGATGTCGATACCATAGTTATCCCTTTGTATACTCCGTACGAATTTCTCCAGTGCAATATTGAATAGTAGTGGTGAAAGAGCGTCACCCTGTTTCAAGCCTGTTACCACTTGGAATTCTTCGGATAGTACGTTGTCAACTCTTACTTGATATTTTGTACCATTCATGCACACTTTTGTCAGGGAAATAAGCTTACTTGGAATTCCGAATTCGTACATTATATTATAAAGACTTTCCCGATGAATGCTGTCATAGGCCTTTNAACAAAACTAACATGGCTACACAAAGCCCTTAACTTATTCTCCTCTTCAAATTTTGTTATTTTTTTTTAAACTTTAAGTTTAACCTAAATGTCAATATTTATATTATATTTAATTAATTTGAGTATAGCATCCTCTTAACGTGATATCCCAGCAAATGTGTTGTGTCTATAGGTATAATATATACAGCGGAATCATTTATCTCACAACATCCATTATTTCAAAAAATTGTTACTCTAAAATGTTAAACTAAAATTGTTTTGTAATGTAATGTAAACGCTTTGCGTTTTAATAGTATTCTACCACTCTTCCCCCACTGAAACATAAAAGTGAAATATTTCATCAATGGTTACTAAATATTACCAAGATTACAGTGGTCAGTCAAAATATGGCGAAACACACATTTCAGGGATACTGCCTTTAGAAGTATAAATGTGGAAGTGCATACATTATTTTATTATAATATTTAGTTTTTAATTTTGCATATATTAAATTAAATTGAATAATTATTTATAGGCTTTTGGATTCATGACACAAGTTGCTTTGAAAAGTGAAAAAATGAATCATCATCCTGAATGGTTTAATGTTTACAATAAAGTTCAAGTTACATTATCCACACATGATGTAGGTGGATTATCATTGAATGATGTCAACCTCGCTTTGTTCTTAGACAAGATTGAAAAAACCATCAAAAGTTCTGTTTGATTACAATTGTTTTTAATAACTTAACAAGAAAAATAAACTGAATGAAATATTATAAAAGTATACCTATTCATTTTATTAGTTGTTCTTTAATAATATTTTTACAATTTGTTAATCTAATATACTGATAAAAAAAACTGATGAGGCACATAACTTTGTTCAAATTGTATACATTTTAAATAACAGACATGGATACCTACTTATTATTTTGGTTTTCATAAATTATTTTTTTTTCAAAATAAAACTGCATACATTATCAATTTTCTTCAAAAATGAAAAGTAAAAAAAAAAACAGTGATTATACTTTAATTTCCTATAATGGTATTTTTTGTATATTTCTTTGAAATAACTTTAAGTAAAATATATTACTATACAAAATTACTATTATCATATTGGCTGCTATGTGTATATTTATTTGTACACTATAAACTTGCTTTTCATGTTTATTGTTTAGGTATTTTTTCATATTTTCAAAATTGTAAAAAGAAAGAAAAATATTCAATAGTTAAAATACTTCCATGTCAGGTTTTTGAACACAAAGATTGTAAAACTAATTTGGATGTAAATAATAATACACATAGTCCTATGGCAATGCATGGAAAAGTGCATGGCAGTTAACATGTTTTTTGGATAAAATGATTTAATAGATTTACTTGATTTAATCATATAGGGTGCGGCGTAACTTAAAAATAACAATACCTTATTTTGACAAATACCAGTAGCCCATAAAATTGTTAGCGCCCAATCGAAAAGTTGAACAATTGTGCTATGGTTTTTATTTTTCCAAAGCCTCGGAATGAAATAAAAATATTTGACTTTGTCATTCTATTTCTTATGTACCGACAATTACATTCGCTACAGAACGTCCCTCACAATCGGTGGTTTCGTCAATTGAAATCCAGATATTATGATCCCCAATTGAACTTCTTATGTTGTTCATAGTTTCAGAGTAGCATTTTTTTCATTTTAGCATTATGTGATTACAGCCACGTGAAAATACGACGAAAAATGAATATATGTACTATAAATAATAATAAGCACTATAAAACTACAAATATGCATTCAATATGCATTTAATAGGGAAAAACGTTGAAATATGCAAAATATGTAAAATAAAATGAGTGTTATTTTAATGAGAATGATCTAAATCGGGGACAATGATAATCAGATTTCAAAAAGCTTATNCTAAAGGAAATATTATGGCTATATTTTCTCAGTAAATATATTTCACTAGTTCTATTAAATTATTACAAATTGTAACTTAATATCTAGTAATCAATAATTTTTACTTATAGATATAGAGAAATTACTAACCTAAATTTAGTGCGTGACAGACACAGGCAAACCAAAAGGATTTTGTTTTATATGCTATGAAGACCAAAGAAGTACAGTATTAATAGTTGTTAACTTCAACGGTACCCGTGTTCTAGATCGTATACGTGTTGATTACGTAAAAATAAAAAAATTTGATTAATGCATTTTACACAAAAATATAATTATTTTTAATAGTTATATTGTTATAGTAAATTTTGCATGATTTATGGAATTATTGTTCAATGTTCATTGTTCATTTGGTTCATTTTACGGAGAATAGATTCTTATTTCCTATTACCATTTTCCACTAATACTACACAAATTGAATAGTTAACCAACCATGATTCTTGAGGTTATGTTGTAATCATAGATACTGTGGTTACTTGTAGTGATAAATACGTATTGATAAGAAATCAATTGTTAATTTGTGTTTTAATTTTTAAATTTTCTGAATTTCTCTTTAATTGTGTATTTGTGTGTTTAATCGCTTAATCTCTTCCGTTCCAAAAGCCAGAAATCAACCTTTAAAACCGATTAAAAACAAAATGAATCCTTTAACGTAAGTAAAATTGGTAAATAATTTTTTCATTCTTTTTATTATTGTAGTTGTAGATCAGAATACTCCTATGGTACCTCTACCTTTTACAAGAGGTGAAAAAAAAGATAATGTTTAACATAGAATAAAGAATGGTTAGATAAAGTAGAATGAAGCATCATGTGACCAGAAAATTTAATTAGACTTCAAGGTAAATTCTATTGGAGTGAGATAAGAAAGATTGTTGTATAGTTTGGAGTGTGGGGTTGAGAATGGTTGAATCAGAAATGAAAATGGTTATGTGGATGAGTGGAGTGATGAAAAAATATAGAATACAGAACGAGTGCATAAGAGGTAGCATAGACGTATCTTCGATAGTGAACAAATGAGAGAAAAAATATGGTGATGGGAATAAATGTATTAGGAAAAAGTGGAAGAGGCCTGAAAAAAAGTTGGTTGGGTGGGTTTAATAATGATATGAGGACACTCAAGGATAGCCAGTGCATGTGAGATATAGAAGTGGTCAAGTGAAAGTTATAAACGAGGATGGCTGACCTTAAATAACTGGGATTAAGACATTAAGATTTTTTAAATACTATTTTTAATTATCCCTAAATAGTAAAAAAATTACCTTTATTTAAAATAATATGTTTTACTAAAAATTTGAATACTATGTAAATTATTACATAAGTACCTACAACAAAGAATAGAAGATTCAAAATTATACATTTGATGTACAAAATGTATATTTCCTCTTTTTATAAAAAGTACCTAAATGTATTGAAGATTTATTTATTCTGCTTTTGCATATTTATTTTTTTTTTATTTATTTATTAAAAATTATTTTCTATTAACCAGTTTTTAATGATAGTAATATCATTTTGTATATTAAGAAAGATATTGTTCCAGGAGTTTCTAGTCACTATTAAGGCTGTATCGTTGAGCTAGTTATTAAAAATAAGTAATAATGATTTTAAGAGAATGGATGAGTTAATTTTAATAATTTCTATCATAATGTCATGCCCAGGTGCTGAACCTTTTTTTAGGGTCCGAATTGCTTCTAGGACAGCTGTGTTATTAAATATATTAAAATTACTGAATCAATGGAACATTTTTTCTGTTGGTTTAGACGTTTTATTTTTGTTCAGTATTTTTTTAAATTTTTTATCCTGTTTGACATGGTAAGCATTACATTAATAAAATAGTTATTGTAGGTCTTCACAATTTCTTCGGGTTCTTTGTTAACGGACAAAACAGTTCCCTTGTCATGTATGATAGAGGAGACTTGATTGATTTGATTGGAATGGTTAATAGCTTTGTCAATTAATTTTCAGCATCGTGTAATATTTCCTGCTTTCAATATTTCTGTCTGATAGTAGAAAAGTTTTGTTTTTTTAATGGTTTGTGTTAAAGTATTTATAAAATGTTTGTTTTTTTGGATCAGATTAGTATTATTAGAGTGTTTCATTAATTGATGACAATTATTTGGATAATAATTACAAAATACAATTATGTAGATTTTTAAATCTACCACTAGTCTTAGATTTGTTTTTCGTTTGCATTGATTTAGCATTAGGTATAGTACATAGGTATAGTATATCATAAACTAAATAACTCAATCTTTTCAACTATTTTTTATTTTTTTTTTTTTTAAATCAAAACATGTTAAAATTTGATTTTTGTTTTATAATAATAAAAAAAACAAACACTTCAAAATGTAATCCTGTGTTTAATAATCTAAAGTATTTTCTGATAAATAGGTATGTCAAATGAAGGGGAATCCTTAACTTGTATTGTTTCATTTCATGTGAAATACTTTTTTCTGATTGGCTCATATTATCATGATAGATACATTTTATTTAATTTGTTAGTAAGAAAGCCGTTGTTTGGTTTTTCGTAGATATAGTTTTCTTAACAATTATGAAAAACATATAGTTAACACGGCGAAATATACAGACTTTAGTTTTTTTGTTTTTATTTTGTTAAAACTCATTGTAGAGACCAGTAGTTTTCACAAAATGCTTATATTAACCTTTTTTAGACTGTACAATTTTTCAAAATATTCTAACAATTTTTTGCTATTTATAAGTATTTGATACTTACATGTTTTATATGTATTTATATTTGGTAGGTATTTGTTATTATAATTATATGGCCTAAAAATTGCTTGAAAATTTAACACAAGATACATAATAAATTAAAATTAATGGACTAAAAAACAAATTTGAGTTTAATGCATTAGTTTTTAATTTTTAGAGTGTTTGAAGAATTTATTGATTGGTTTTATTAAAAAGATGTTTTTCTTTTTTTATACTGTGTACAAAAATTCTACTAGAAATGTTCCTCTGATATATACAATATAGACTTTTTTTAAAAGGAAATTTTTTTGGGAAGGTACTTTTCAAATTTCCCATGAGTTTTTTCAACAAATAGGAAAAACGGGAAATTGTATGAAATATATATATTTATCAACTTTTTCTGTAGATAACTTTTCTACCAGAAATTTTGTTCAGATTCATAATGAGAGTACTTTTTCTAAAAGGAAATTTGACTTGGGAGGTAATTTTTCGATTTTTCAAAGAGTTTTCCCTTTAAATGTAAAAAACTGAAAAAACTGAAAAAAAAATGGGAAAATCAGTACTATATATAAGAAAGTAAAATATATAAATAAATAAATAGTATAAAAGAGAATATATAATGCTTATTTAATTATTTTACCATAATATGATTTAATATTGTTGACAAAGCATAACTATTAATTGAACTCAGCTCAGAATCGTTTTTAGTAAGCAATGGTTGGTAACTAATGGTTATAAGTATCGTTACTTACAGATGAAAATTAATTTTTCCTTTATATCCTACCTTCTATACTTCTCACCAACAATAGTGGTCGCACCCATCCTCAATATCTTAGGAAACAGCTCTTTTTAACATCAAATTTGACAAAAAAATAACAGCATTTTAAAATATTTCTGAAATATAACTTTGCTCCTCTACCTTTGTTTATAGATATAAATTAAATAACTTTATCTATCCTATCCTGCTAATATCCAACCTACTACAGTGACTACAGCCATGTCCATTTTCCCCAGTATCAGTTTATTTGTTGTCATTACTGGCACCATGGAGTTCTGTGTGTTTGCAAATGACACATTTGTGAAAATCAATGAATCGGAAGTATAAAAACAGCACATGTATAGTTGAACTAAAACTAATAAAATAGTATAGCTTTGCTCAAAATCTTGGCCTAATAATGGGTATTAATTATAGATGTATTTGTAAAAACAAACTGTTTTAATATTACTGATTCATAGTTTTTCACAAATGCGTCGTACGCAAACACAAGGTGAATAACGCTACAGTGCGCCATAGTATAGATTAAGTATACTAATATAGGTACTTAATATATTTAATCCCTAACCATAATGACAAAGACAACCAAACGGCATTATCTGACAGATTGAATGAACTTATCTAGACCTTCCTACGCTCATTGAAAAAAAATTGTTTATTTTTGGCCTACTTTGTACAAAATTTCTACCAGAAATATTGCTTCAATTTTTAAGTGAAGCACTTTTTCTAAGAAGAAATTTTATTTAAGTGATAGGTATTATAAGGACCTTAATTTTCAACTATTTGGTTTATTACATTCCACAACACTAAAAAAAGATTTATGATCCACTTTTTTAACCTCTAAAGAATCAATATTCTTATGAAATTGTTCACACATATTGATTAAATTTATTATTAATAATTATTAGGATTAACAATACAGTACGTACACACAAACTAACAACTCTCCACTGAAAATGTGTAGTTCAGTTTATTTTGTTATAACATAAAATAAGATATACCTAATAAAGATTAGATTAGATAAAATAAATTATTCAATTTTATGAACGAAAAATCGATAATCAGCTTAGAAAATACAGATAAATTTTACTAAACATATCAGCCAGTATCTGAAGTATACACCAATTATCCACAATGACTGGTTTGCATTGCCAATAATGACATCGCTTACTCAATACCTAGATTTACTAAATTTCTGACATATATATGTATATTTAAATTTTAAAGTATGTATCTAATATCTGAGTATTTTATTTTTACAGAAATATGAGAAATGTGAAAAAATTGAGTGAACAAGAATTACTTAATCTTCCTAAAAGTTCATGGCATGATGAATATAAATCAAGTGCATGGGTATTTGTTGGTGGTTTACCTTATGACTTATCTGAAGGAGATATTATGGCTATATTTTCTCAGTAAATATATTTCACTAGTTCTATTAAATTATTACAAATTGTAACTTAATATCTAGTAATCAATAATTTTTACTTATAGATATGGAGAAATTACCAACTTAAATTTAGTGCGTGACAAAGACACAGGCAAACCAAAAGGATTTTGTTTTATATGCTATGAAGACCAAAGAAGTACAGTATTAGTAGTTGATAACTTCAACGGTACCCGTGTTCTAGGTCGTATATTACGTGTTGATCATGTTAAAGATTATAAACCTCCAAAAAGCTCTGAACCTAGAAGTAAAATTAAATCTGAAAAACTAGATGATGATGATGATTTTAAAATTAAAGCTGAAATCAAACAAGAAGTATGTACACCAGAAATTAAAAGGGAAATTTGCACCCCAGAAATCAAACACGAGATTTGTACTCCAGAATTTAAACGAGAAGTGTGTACTCCAGAAATAATTAGAAGTCCCAATTATGAGAGTATTACAAAAAAAAAAAAATCCAAAGATATAAACAAAAAAAGACGAAGCCGGGATAGATCTCAGGAAAAATATACACACAACAAACATCAAAGAGAAAAATCAAAAGAAAAAGATAGAAAAAAACATTACAAAAGTGAAAGAGATAAATCTTCTGAGAAGGTAAAAAGTAATAAGCGACCTAGACGTAGTCCAAGTCAAGAGAATGATATAAGAAAAGATTCAAAAACAAAATTATATAAAGAGTATAGTTGTAGAGATGGATCAAAAGAAAAATGTAGAAAACCGGTTGATGATAAGGAAAAAGATTATAATAAGAAAAATAAAAAGAAACATTTTCACAAAGATGATAAATATAAAAAATAAAAACTTTTATATTCTCTTTGTAAATATAATGTAAGTTAGATTAAAAGCAATATTCTTATGATCTAATAATAATATCTCATAACACATTTTTTTTTGATTATTTAATGTTCTTCAGTGTTGCCTAAACTTTTTGTTTCTTCCATTGTAGTTTGAATAATTATTGATTTCCTATTTGCTTGTGGAGTTGATGTACAGTTTTCTTCTTTCTTTAAAATTGGTTTGTTCACATTAGCTTTTTTATGCAAGTAATTTAGTTCAAGAGTAGACTTGAGCAAGTCAACTTTAGGTGGTTGCAATGATCCACTTCTAAGATCACTTTGGGGTTTAGGTAGTAGTTCTTTATCCAAAGATGCTAAAGAACCACGATGGTTAAATTTTATCATTAAACTTAAACGTCTAGCCTCCAATTCTATATCAGTCAAGTCTTCTTTATTATTTTCTTCGATTCCTTTAAGAGAATCTACTTCTGATGGTTCTAAATTTTAGTAACATTTAGTTATTTAAGTTTCCTTCCATTCATAATTGTCTATAATGTAAACTACTATTAATCAAACAAATTTACCAAATTTCTCAGTTGTATTTTGTTTTTCAAACTTGTGAAGCCACATACAGTGCAATAGTCCATAAATAGTACCACTTATGATGCCTAATAAGCCCATCAATCTAAATGATTGCCTTGTTCCATATGATCCAATTAAAAGACCGCCGAAAAAACTTCCACTTCCACGACCTGATTTATTTTTTTATTTTTTAGGTTAATGAAAAAAGTATTGACAAAAAAATAAAACATTGTTATTTACCAAGACTAAAATGGGACATTCCTGAAACACCTATAAGTGTTGCTAGAAGATTTTTGGGTGCAAGTAAAGCACAATATGTTGCAGCAGCTACCCACATTAAATGAACTGCTAAAGATTCAATTGCTTCAAATGGGAAAACCCACCATGGATCTCTGTAATAACATATTTTATTTTATTAAATTAATATTTTATAAATATATAAACATTATCTTACTCAATAAATGAATATCCCATTAATCTGGCTGCGTGTGAAAAGAAGGCGATGACAATGATATTGACATGACCAATTTTTTTAGAGATTTTTTCTGCTCCATACAAAAATGGAATACTACTGATAGTTGCTACAGACACTGTTATTCCTGTAGTATTGATTAATATTTTTTTTTTTCAGTAGAATATATAAATATCTGATTTTAATAATTTATTCGTTTGTTCATATTTATAATTACCTAATAAGTAGTTAGGAGCTCCTAATTCTTTAAGATATAAAAATAGATATGATTCTATAAATCCCCAACAATTTCCAAGTACAAACAAAAAGAATATAAATGCAGTTACATGAGGCAGTTTTAATAACCTTATCATATCTTTTAAAATATGATCTGCAGGCATTTTTATGCCAACTGGCATCATTAATAAGGTTACCATTGATAAAACAAGTAAAATATCATAAGTGTAGAATGCAGATGAGTAATCCGTGTAACCTAATATATAATTAAAATATGCATTCAATTTATCTATAAAATTGGTTAATAATAATAAAATACCCTTTTTTGCACTCATGCGATCAATTAGCCAACCAGTGAGTGGAGAGAATAATGCCATTCCAACAGTCGAAAATAACCTTTCTCTACCGAATTGTCCCCCATACCTTTGTATTAGACTTAAAGCAATAGGATCCATTACTGTAACTGATGCAGCTAACATGGTTGTACCTACAAACCGTAGGCCAAAGTATATCCAAAACACTTTCTCGTTTGAAGGTTTATATTCAGGTGGACATCGCTCAGGTCCGCCTGTCCTATAAAAATATATATTTAAATATAAAAATCATTGTACTGTCAATTATTACAAACAAATATATCAGTATATTATATAATCAAATCAATAGAAAATTAATATTATAAAGCAAATGAACAATTTTCTCAAAATTTATTTCTAAGTAATTACAATATTATACAAGGTGGTCCATTCAAGTAGGTACACACATTATCTCAGAAAGTATTAACTTATTCCAGGATTTGTTTTCTAGAATATTTAAGAAACAAGCAGCTCTAAAATTTTATAATTATATTATTTTTCATCACCCTTATTTTTGATAGCAAAATCACTACCTACTTTTGATTTCCAAATGGCAACCTATATTTAAAATGTAAATAAATAGAGTATTAGTTAAAATAAATTCTAGTACTAAACTATTGGTTTTATAACAATTTATTATATTTGTATTTTATAAATGTATATAATATTAGCTGACCCGAGCACAGTATTGACCTATCTATTTCATTGGTTGTCAACCTTGTTGCCTATAACATGATGCATACCTACTTATTAACATTTATACTTTAATATCAATTTAAATAGGTACCTGAAAATACATTTTTGAAGCATGCAATCTGCAGCAAGCTCTTTTAGTTTGTTATACGTAAGATTAGTTGCCAACACCCTACCACCACATCTTAAATCGTGATCTAGAAGTGCTGAAAAGTTAACTCCGGATGTTATCAACATGTCTGATGAAAAATGTTGACGAAAATCTGTGACTTGTTCATCTTGGTCAGGTTCTGGTAATTCCATTCCTTTACATATTAATAAAATCGAAATTAGTAATAATTAATGTTTGATATGTCATAATTAGAGTCCAGAATTTTACTATTTCAACAAAAAATCTATTTAAAAATCTAAAAAACACTCCAAAAATATTTAAAATAGCAAAAGTAAGGAATTTAAAAATTTCACCCTGTTGGTTATATATTTCCACATTGCCTACACATATTTTCTCTTTATGTCTCACAAGTTATATTGTATTTTATACAATATACTAACACTAAGTTAAATAAATACTTTTACCCACTATTCTACTGAAATTTTAACAATTAAACAATAGTTTTTCACTATGTAGGACTCTAATAGGGAATATGCCTACCTAACGTTTCAGTTGGGTCCATAAGTCCTGGGTGCATATCCAAAACCACAAACACAGTTGCTTCTTTTTTGCTGGATGTATCATTAATATTATTTAAACCAGCTCCAATATTAGCAATTTCTTTTACGGTTTCATTATTCAACAAAACACCCATCCTCAGTTTATTTTTCTTGGTTTCTGGTTTCTTTGGACTGCAACATATTTAAAATTTCAATTTTTTTTTTAAACTTATCTATAGAGGTACTCGATGCATATGTGGTTTACACAAATTATATTTGTATGAAGAATAAATAAACTAGACAGAACAATTATCTGAAAAGGTAAATGCATAAATATACCCACGTTTGCTTAGTAATATTTTTAGCTTGTTTTGTTTTTTCGTAAATGAAAAACAAATCTGGGTCATCTATCCCTGGTTGGTGATTATTAGCAGGTGGCATTATACAATTTGGAGGTTGTTGCTAAAATGAGAAAATTAAATAAATCGTTTGAGCAGAATCTATGTAATTATAAATTCTCTTAATTGATTAACTATTGAGATAATATATGAACAATATAGGTACCTACTAAACCAATCATACATATTTTATACAAATTTCATATTTTATTAGATATATATAATCTATATTCGGTAGGTACAAAATAAGAGTACTAAGTTAGGTACTAACTCTATTTTAACTACATTTTAGTTTAAAACAAAAAAAAGCCTAATCTAACCTAGCTTTTTGATAGTTTATGATACTAAATTTACAAGATAATACCTAATTAAAAAGTAGTTATTGTTTCAAAGTGTATAAAACTAAAAAAATTTATATACATAATAGGTTAAAATATTAAATTAGAAAATTGTATATAATATTTATACTATAAGAATCTCGATGCATATAGTATTAGATATCTATAGATTAGATATCTTTTTTCATCTAAAAATGCATTTGTTAAATGTATAAGTTATAAAAAATTAAATTTGTCAAAAGTAACACTGCAAATGTTTTATTTGTACATATTAAACCAATCTAGGACGTAAATTAATTTTTTTTATATACATATTTTTTCTTTACTGTCCTCATAACCCAAAACACTGCAAATCCAAATAAATTGGAAGATTAGTAAAATACAACTGAAATATTTTCCTCCTAAAAGACTTTTAACAATATTTGTTGAAAAATGTGTTTTTAAAATGTATAATAAGCTTGAGCTTAACAAAAATACCGTACTTAGTATATAGTAAAAATAATTTTAGTGTTTATATTTAATACAGATTACGGTTTTACTTATAATGCAACATATATAAAATGTATCTGTTACTAATAAATCGTCAAAAATAATAGTAATAATATAAATTATAAATATGTTTATAATTTAATGTTAAATAAGTACTTACGAATTTATTTATCTTTATTTATTTTTATTTGATTACATTAATCTGGTAAAATTGTATACGAAATTCCATATTATACTTTAGGAATTAAAATGTAAGTGTTATTAATTTTAAAATAGACTGATATACTTTACACAATGAGTGAACCATTGTAGATGAGAAGTTGGGAAGGTAGGATATGTTTGAGTATATGTATAAGGGAATTTAATGTATTTTTATATGCAATGATTAATTATTGCTAACAAAAAACGATTCTGAATAGAGTTTGATTATTCATGTTTTCATAAATTTTTTAGTTTTTCGCCAATTTTGAAAACTACTTGTAAAACTAAAAATGACCTGTTTTAAGTCCCAGCCCATGAAAATTTCCTTTCAGAAAATGTGCTACAACACTTGAAAATCGGAGGAAGATTTCTGGTAGATTTTTTATGCACAGTATAAACAAAAAAAAAAAAAAAAAAAATTATTGTTAAACCAATATATTCCTTTGCTCCACTTAGAAACTAAAATGCAAAGTATAAATTTTTTTTTTCGAAAATGTTCTCTAGTGACTTACATCGTTTTTGCTTATATCAGTATATTGCCTTGCTAAGAATTAAAAATATTTTGTAACATTGACTACAGCATTATTGCCTATTAAAAACAGAATATTTTTTTTGAAGAACAGTATAGCTATATACCACTATACCTTTACAAATATAATTAAATAACTCTAATAACTTTTACTTAGCAAATATTGCAAAAGAGCATAGGGACAAGACATTGTACTGTAACCTTAAACAATTATATAGGTATTCATACTTGTATATTAGTTGGTCCAGTAATAAAAGTTGGTGGTCTAACTGCTATGCTTTGCTCAATATTCGTTACCCCTTTATTTTCTTCATGCGGTATACTATAATCTCTTAATAAACAATGATCATCACATTCATCCAAGACTAAATTAATTTCTTCATCTTCTGGACATTCCCTGCTAGGACAAGGACTCCACCACACCTAACACGATTTGTATATATTAAAAATAATAAAACCAGAGATTTAAATCAATTTGTGGTATATTAGACATAATTAACTACATCTTATCTCAATTTTTTAGTAAAAAAAATCATTAATTTATTGAATATAAATTATTTTGAATCAACCAGATACCAAATCATAAAATTAAAATATTTAAAATAATATTTTAGCATTTAGGATTTTTTAAAAACAAGTATTTAAGTTTCACAAAAATATTACTTTGACATAATATAATATTACTTCTTGACCCAAGTATAAATAAACATACATAGTACCTACTTAAACAAACATTTTGAATTAATCCTCTCTTATTTTAAATCATGGACTAAACACATTTTTATTTATATTTACCTATTGATAAATTCATAATTTTTTATTTTAAATTAAATTTGTATTTGGACATATTTCTTAGTATGTAACTAAGTATTACTGAATCATATATATTGAAATGTTTTAAGTATTGTTTTTGTAAAATATATCAATATAATTGAGTTCACATTGTACTATTTAAAATATTTAAAATACATCAACTTTCCCAGACTCTGGATGTCTCATAACATATGCTGATGGGACTGCTCCAGGTGTTTCCATTTGAGGTATTAATATCAACGAATGATGAAATATAGCATTTAATGCCAATGATATAAACAAAACTGGCTTATATTGGCCAAATTTGTCTACCAAAAATCCTAAATACATTTTTTTTAATATTAATAATTATTATGTATTATACTTTGAATGGTTACAACTATAAAAGTACCTGAAACGGGGGGAGCTAAAAATGTAGTCAGAGGCAGTGCCAAATAAACAATAGCAATTTCTTCTACTGACAATCCAATGCTTTGCATATGAATAGTTAAGTATGGGATTAATGATGATGTTGCTAAAAGTAAATAAAAATATTAACATAAAATGTGTAAAATATTTGGCTGTAATGTGTGTAGGTTATATTCAACTAAACTTACCTCCATACATTAGAAATAATGTAATTTTTAACATAATAAGATTATAATTAACATTATACTTAGAACATAATCTCTGTATTGGCCTATCCTCAGTTTCTTTTTTTCCAGACATTTTTGGATCTGACGACTTTGTCATAGTGAATGATTTGCAAAATATTCTTGAAATAAGAATGTACACTTTTGAGGAAAAGCATGGGCGTTTTTTAAAAAACTTATCTCTAAAATTTTATATTTTATATCCAAACTAATATGCTATTGTTTCATTGTTTGTTTTTATACAAACTGTGATACCGTTTGATATACTGCACTTTATTCAGATTAAGAAAATAAAGTCTAATAAATGAGTTGTTTTTTTATGATAGTATATTCGATGTCAAATATTGAATGTTCAATAAAACGACTAAGGTTTCATAATTAAAATAATTCAATTAGGTGTACAATAACAATAGTGTTTACATAAAAAATCTTCTTAGACTCCATTCTTTAATTTATTGACCAATCCGCTTAATGAATAGTTACTGCTTGGGTTAGCTAATGCAACAAATTGTTGTGCAACTTCTTCAGCAACCTGCAATAATGTATTATAACAATGTTTTTAGTTATTGAATATACATTATTCGTAATGTAATTATTATATTTTTATTATTATTCAACAGTTCTCATGAATACATTTTTACAATTCTTGAATTTAATGATAAATTAATTATTTGGGCATATTAAAATTTAACCATAAAAAATGTATCCCTTTTTAGAATTAAAATTTAGCTAATAGATATATTTAAGTGTTTTATTTTAGAACATTTCAAATTCACAATAAAGCTTAGAAATTGCAAACATTTTACAAAAACAAGATCAAGTATGTATATTTTTAAAGATATTAATATTAATTAAATATTTTAATCATAACAAAAAAAAAAAAGTCCTGTTAATTTTGTCACACATCAACAAGTCATTAATTAGGTATATAATTTTTATAATAATGTTCGTAATATTCATTATGTGTGTGATTATAAACAATATCAATGTGCAATTTTAATATGTTTATATGTTTTAATATGAGTTTATAGATAATATTTAAAATTAATTGACTTACTTTAATTTGTGCCTCATGTGTAGAAGCACCCAAATGAGGAGTAGCAATAACTTTTGGATGTGATATGAGAGTTTTAAGTTCAGTGCTTTTTGGTGGTTCTTCAGTCAAAACATCTAAACCAGCTCCATCACATTTTCCATCCTATTTAAAACCATTATTTTATCAATTATTGTAAAACCATAGCCTGAATAAATTTTATATCTTACATTTAAAGCTCTTAGAAGTGCAGCTTCATCCACAATACCACCTCTAGCGACATTGATAATCTTTATTCCTTTCTTACATTTATTGAATACATCATCATTAATCAAATCTAATTTAAAAATCAATTCATTTTATATTATTGTAATTTTATAATAAATAACTTTAGTGTAATATACTTTTAGTTTGTTCAATCAATGGAGTATGTACAGTTATGTAATCAACAATGGGCCATATCTGTTCTAAACTCAATAATTCTACTCCGAATTCGGCTGCAGCTTCTTTTGTAAGAAACGGATCATATCCTACAGTCTACATTTAAAAAAAAAAAAAACATCAAACCTAATATTATATTATAAATTTCTATTATTATTAATGTCATACTTTCATCCCAAATACTTGCATTCTAAATGCTACTTCACGGCCAATTCTACCTAACCCAAGTATACCAATTATTTTTTCTTTAATTTCAGTCCCCATGTAGAGCTTTCTATCCCATCTTCCTTCTTTTAAAGATTGGCAGCCTTGAGGTACATTTCTAAATGAAAATTTTTTTTTATTTATAGACATAAAAAGAAATTAATCTTACTAAAAATCAAACTAAAGGAAACACTAGTAGAAATTGATACATTTAATAAATATATTATGTAACCTATTAAATTACATTAGTAATGCAATATTAATTATCAGATTTCATTTGATGAAATACATACGAATCATGTTTTAGATTAATAATAATTATAATTATAGAAATAAATCTAAAGATGCTAAATTATATATATATACAAAAATTAGCTATTCCGCAAAGGATGGCCCATACCAATTTAATTTGACCAATTAAAAACAGAATTTTTAAATATTTTCTCACTATCCAAAATGAATAAATTTAATTTAATTTAACATGTCTTCCTTTTTATTTTATCTGTGTTGCCAAATTATCTCAAAAATGAACTATATTTATAATAATATAATAAAAAAAAAATCCTGTAAGGCTACCTTTTAGAAATTCAGTTTTGAAGTGTAGTATATGGGCCCGTTCATCTTTTCTGTTCTATAATAAATGTATAATTATTGAATCATCTAAAATCTAATATAGAAATGTATGTAACAAAATTGTGTTGAGAATCGTGTAATTTGATTTCTATTTTGACCTCAAACATATTGTAATACAGATCAAATTTATATATTTTTTTTTCAGTTGGATATATATAGGTATGTTCAATTGGACAATTAGGTCCTTGTAGTATTTTATATAACATAATATTTTAGTTATATATATAATAGTTTAAAATTCAACTTTACTTAACTATATAGTGTGTATTAACAACATAAAATAGCTGATTTGAAAAACAATTAATTTTAAAACATATCATGTCTAAAATGTCACAAATAATTTTCATGCTGATTCTACAGTCTTCTTTCATTGTGTATATTTATATTTAAATTTTAAAGATCAAAGTTTATATATACCTATCAATACAGTTTTTTAAAATATTAACTTACCGAGCCAATGATAATATTAATGAGCATGTCAGTTCACAGGCACTATTTGAATTTCCACCAGGAGTACTGTAATAAAAAAACAATTAATAAAATAAATATAATGTAAATGTATAAAGTTAGATAGATATAAATCTGGAATTAATCACAATGAGATAATACATTTTGAGTACTATAAATGAGTACAAAGACTACATAATTACCTATGAATATTTTTATTTAAATATAAAACTAAAAAAATCTATCTAAACAGATCTTTATGAAGAATGAAGAAGTAATTAATGGTTTTGTAATTAAAATCATATAGTTCATAATAAAATGCAATAGAGATATTCTGGGAAGAAAATTCTTTTCAAACTAAATAGGTACCGAGTATTGACCGAGTAGTAAGATAAATACAAATATTGTATCGTATTGGTCGGGTAAAAATGTATTATTACATTGAGTACCTCTAAGTATGACATTAAATAATTGACGGGTAGCATCTTTGATCACTAATATACATTATACAAGCAATATTTACAACTTTATTCTTCTTATTGTGGCTTTCTAACACTCTTAAGTCTTACAAATAATTTTTAAAAATATTAATTTCAATTGATTAACCAAAATTAAAATACATCAAATTAATTAATAAATATCTATTGAGTATAATAATATACAATATTTTAATACTAACAAAGAAAACACTTTTTATCTTGGAAAGTATTAAGTCAAGTAATGCAATTTTATTCAAGAAATTTAAGATAGATAAATGAAATTCTAAAATACTACATTACTCATGGTTATAATATATAATAATATATCAATCACTTATACTATTTTTTAAAATGTGTTTTATTGTTTATATTACCAACTTGAATCCAATAATTAATTTTAGAAATATAACTATTTAAAGATTTGAATATTGAAAATAATTTCAAATAAGTGATGCAAAGCAGTATCACTCTGAAGACTAAAAAGGATGTTTCCAAATCTACTGAAATTTTTAAAATGACAATATTAAGGTAATATTTACGTATATTTTGAAGTAAAAAAAATTATAAATGTACTTTTAGATTATATAACAAATTTCGATCCTCTCTTCTGGAAAATTTTATTCGAATACAACTTTTAAATGATGCACTAAGAATGCAATAATAGGTATGCCATTTATAATTATTTGGTTTAATTATCAGCTCTGTAAAACAATTTTTGTAGGCTTATGCAATAGTGAGTTATAGCGATATGATAATTCTTGTAATCTGTACATCATGGTATGTAGATAAGATATATTTACTTTTAAATATGAATACAATTTTATAGCTTCAGTATCAATAGTATATGTTATTAGATAATAATTAATTAGTAAAATAACTTCTGAAGAATGCCAAAGAAAGACAATGATCATGATGATTGATTAGATAATGAATGGTTTTCCTCACCATAAAAACATAAGAATGAAAAAAAGCTTACATTTTAAATTTCCCAGAAATAATAATTTTAATAAAATAAAAGATAAAAATTAAGACTTAATGAGATAGTAATAGTATCAAAAAAATCACCCTGTAGTTAGTATATTATACAATATTCATAGATCTATAACAAAATCATGTAACATTTTACTTAATTACTTATAAAAACAAAAAACAAAAGACTATTATAAATGTACAACACATTAAACATTGATAAATAAAACAATTAAGTTATAAATAAATAATGATGAAACTGATAAGTTTTAATAAAATGTTCACGTATAAAATATGTAAATAATTAAAATATTAAGAAGAAATTAAGACATTTTAATTGATAAAAAAACCAACTCTAAAGTTGGACAAATTGTTAACAAGTATGTTAATAAAAATATTTATTATAACTTGAGGGTTGCACGTTGCCAACCATTGTTTTAAATGACTACCATATTTTATATTTTAAATTCAAAGCTGGGCACTAACTAGTTAGAAGTTCCATTTATTAGTAACTTTTAACTTAACTAGTTATATATATTTCACAAAATATGAACATTTTTTTTTAAATCCATAGCATGTCAGTATCATATTGTTTTGTGTAAACCAATGTTGTAGATACTTTCGGGATAGTTAATTTTTACCTAAATGATGGAATTAAATTCAGGTCGAAAAAATAAATAATAGTCGTACTTGAAAGATCAACAAATATTTGATAATACTAGTTTCTCTTATGTCAAATATCATATGGTGTTTTGCTTCGTTTGTAAAATATAACACCACTATCCAACAGAAAGATTCCACCTCAGAAAACAATTTAAAGTATAGATACGTTGTTATTAAAATTTAATAGGTAATTGACGTATTGTATAATTGAATAATGACAATAACATAATTAAAACTAAGGTAGGTAAATAAAAACAATTAATTATAAAGACATATTATTTAGTTTTTTTTTTTTACATTCTGAATGTAGCGAATATATTGGTTTTATAAAGATGTTAATTTTTTTTTTATATTGTGTACAAAAATTCTACCAGAAATCTTGCTCCGATGTATATAATATAGACCCTTTTCTGAAAGGAAATTTTCTTGGAGTGGTACTTTAGGAAGATAATTTTTCGATTTTCTCAGGAGTTTTCTTATCAAATGTGAAAAACCGAAAAAAATAAAACGGTAAAAATATTACGATTTTTATTTTCTAAGGATAACTTTTCTACCAGCGATTTTGCTCAGATTTAAAATGATAGCACTTTTTTTTAAAAGTAAATCTGACTGGGGAGATACTTTAAGGGGTCATTTTTCGATTTTTTCCCAGTTTTCCCAGCAAATGTGAAAAACCATGAAATAACATAGGAAAAACGGGAAAATCAGAACTATATTAAACAAATAATATTAAAAAATACATAATGCTTATTTAATTATTTTACCAAAATATGACATAATATTGTTGACAAAGCATCACTTTCATTAGTTCGTTGGTTGAAAATTGCACTCGTTATAACCCAGTTTGGTATTTAGTTGACTTGCGGCGGCAGTTCAGCAAATCTGCTGGTCTGCTCTAAAATCCGTAAAACTTACCAGAAATTATGAAATTGTATATATGTGATGAGTTCTATCTAGCCTGTTAGTTCATAATTTCTGGTAAAGTTTTACGGATTTTAGAGCAGATCAGCAGATTTGCTTAACTGTCGCCGCAAGTCAACTAAATACTGAACAGGGTTATAACTTATAACGATTGAAATTTTCAAAGGAAATATACTGACTATTTAAATACGGTAGAACTCATCACGGATACAAAATGTCATCATTTTTGGCTAATGTTTTTAGGTATAATTTTTTTTTTATAGGCAGGCTATATTTCTGCGACAGGTATCATAGAGTATCATTATCATTACTCTATGGTCGCAATGCAAACCTTTAATTAACAATATTTCTGTTGACTAAATTTGTACTCTTAATTAAAACGTAAAACCATCTACATATACACTTACGCATATTCATTATTCAAATTTATTAAAAAAAATATTTTAATGATAAATACACATAAGATTGAAATAGTCGTGTGAATTTCAATATTATTTTGACAGTAAACAATATAAATAATAATAAATAAAATAATATTATCACGGTTTATTTTATGACGCCAAATAAAATCATCCGTAGCGCTTAAGTAGTCAGTGGTTCAGCAAATTAGACAGACCTTTTATCGTTGCTTACAGATACAAATTAATTTTTTTAGTATTTTAATTTAATGCCCAGACTTGATTTTAATTTATTACATCGACCTTTAGAAAGCTATTTAGCAAAACACTATAAATGGCATTACGAGACAACTGTAAAAAAAAAAAATGGTCAAAATTTATTGGTACCCCAGAGATTGTAATTTATAGCCTAAATTCGATTAATACTTAATACTGTTATAGTATTTGGGTAACGCAAACTAGGGACTATTTTCTCGAAATTCACTTTTTGTCATTTTTTAATATAATATATTATGACGCAGACTGTCTGTAAACTTTTTTACATAGAATTTGCACTTTTCACTACATTTTTGATAAGGAATATATTAATCACATAATCACATCAGTCACACCATCAAATGTAGAGGTGTCGAATCTGCACTAAATTCTATGTAAAATAAAGTGTACACTTTTTATTAAAACGGACAATAAGTGTTGGGAGGGTTGCCAGATTGATAATAAATTTCACCGCATAGAGCGATACGGCAACGGCCAAAACCGTCACTTCACTACAGACGCTAATATCGTCAAAACCGGGAAAAAATCGCCCGAACAATTTTTTTTTGTTAGTAATTAATTAGTGTTAATGAAACGTAATAATATACATTAATCTTAATTGAGCCAATTATCACGCAATTATATTTTGTTCGCCGCCCGGTTTTGGCATACCGCCGCAAGTTAAAACATTTTCTAGCCATTTGACAGTTTGAGAAGTGATAACGACCAGTTGGCGAAAAACCGCCCAATCTGCCTTAGTCCAATGAGACTGTTATCACACTTTCTTTTTTTTCGAGACGAAATTAAAATGGACGTCCAAAAATTGTTCAATATGGCCACAAGACCATATTTTAACTTTATAGTACATTTAGATAAACGCCGCTCCCGAAAAAATTAAATGACGGATTCTGGCCACACCAGCTGGCAACATCAAGCCATTTTAATTTTATTAACAACAGAAATATTTAATAAGGGAACTGGGCCCAATATATCCACGGACTACCGACTAGGGACTAAGATCTTAGTGCATCCCTGCCATAGATTTGTACAAGCCTAATGTCTACGATTGTTATCGCCTTGGGTCTGTGGATCTGTCATTTGTGATATCTATATAATGAATATAATTTACTAGATTAATGTTCAAGTGTTTTTTGTAATCGGCAAAAATGTTTAAAGTTATAAATATGCGAGACGTAAGTAACACTAAATTGGTCCTATTCTATGGTATTAGCAACATCCAAGAAAAATAGATGTGAAAAGGCGTTTAAACTTTTTTCCATGAGTGTACCTGTGCGTCATGCAATATTATTGTACTTAAACTATTTTTACGTTTCTCGCGTGCTCATCTGACAACGGTATTGGTGATTACAACCAAAACGAAGTTTTGATAATAATATTACCGGGTTTCGTTATTTTAAACTTTTAAAGTTGTAACTCGTAATAAAATGAAATCAAATACATTTTTTTTGGGAGCTTAAAAAAACCTTATACTGTCATAACACATATTTATAATACATAATTTTGAATTAATTCAATTACAAAAGTACATACATTCATATATTATTTATTCACAGTGCCCTGCCCAGCAAAATCAAGCACCCGGAGCCAAAAGTATGTTCAAAAAAAATAGTGATCTTAATCGTTAATATTTAATGATAAACCTGTCCGTCGGCATTTATTATAAAAATATTCAATAACACAACTTGAAATTTTAACCTCTGATCCTTGTTTGGCACCCCCGAGGTCATTAGGCACAATGCATGTGCGCCTATCGCACCTCCTAGACGGCTATATTCATAGCATAATATAGTAAATAGTGACTAAAATATTTGTTTTATATTCAAAATTTAGATTCAAATTTCATTCAATTTTAATTTCAATCGAGGATTGTGTATTAAGTGGTTCCTAAATTATTTATGATATCACTAACACTTTTTTTGTACACATATTACGATGAAATAATGCATTATATAATTTTTTTTTATACTTGGTTATTTTTTGCATATATACATATGTATAAAACAAAAATAAAATTAAAAAATTGAATACAAAACTTAGCCCGAATTATGCTCTATATAGGTAGTTAGCAAGTATTTACAATAAGTTTTGACTTAAATAATCATCAGTTAATAATACAATAAAGGCAAAAAAAAAAAATCTATTAGATTATTTGGCATTGGATGTTTAGAACACTTTTAAAAAAAACTTTTATAAAGCAGATTATAGTTGTAAAACAGAAATATTTATTACTTAGTTACTTACCTATAGAATGTGTATAATTATTATGAGGAATTATATTTTTTTAAATAAAATATGTTAAACGATTTTCATCTTTTTTTTTCTTTGCTATACATATATAAATACCCGGGGGTACTTAAGATAAGGTTAAAATCAATTAATTGTAAGTACTTAACTATACCTATGATTTTTTTCAATATCAATTTATATATATTTATAATATCACCCATGAACTGAATAGTAAATATAAATTAATGGTAATAATGAAAAATGTATAATTGTCTTCTAAAATAACTAATGTTAAAATAAATAGAAATATGAACTTACTTAAGAACTAGTATCCCTGCATTTGTCGCAGCAACTATATCAATATTGTCTACTCCTGTTCCAGCTCTTCCAATAACTTTTAACCCATATTGAGCTCCAGCTTCTATTACCGCTTTAGTTACTTTAGTATCAGACCGAACAACCAATCCATCATATAATCCTGTCTAGGTATAATATAAATAATTTGTATGTTATTCGAATTTATTTACATATTATTGATAGATAGGTAGGTAGGATAGATAGGTATAAAATAGTTTATAAACTATTTTTTTAAAAGGTATAGGTAAAAATTTATAATTTTCTTCACACCTTATGGACACGTATCTAACCAGACATTTTTTTTTTGTGAGAGAACTCCTGAACTATTTTCATTAATACCATTATAAGGTCCAGAATACGGGAAACGGTTAATTGGTCCCCCACCAAAAAAAATGTTATAAGCGGACAATCGGTCCCTGTCATAATTTTATGGAATCATTCAGCAATAAATTACAACATAATATTTTTTTTTTTATTTGTTTGTTTACATCAAAATATTTAAATTTATATTACTATTACGTATAACTTAAATAATTAATGGCGGTTTAAATGTTAATATCTACATTATATAAATATGTTGACAATATTATTGTCCAGATTAAACATCCTAGTATTTATGTGTGTTTATTGAATCTATACAAATAATTAATTCAACAAAAATGATATCTTTGACTAAAAATAATGAAAATTTATTTTTAAATAATTTTATAAAACCTTTAAGGAAAAAAGAAAATTTTTGTAATACTTTTAATATTAATTTTTCAAACAATGAACTTTAAAATTATTTGTGTAGTCTGTTTCAATATTAAATTATTAAACATTAATTATTTTTAACCGTATTATTTACAAATAATATTTTTCTGATTATTATATTAATACTTTACATTTATTGAAAGTAATAACATAACGTGAATATATTTAATGTCACAGGAAATAAATTTCCCGGGACCGATTGTCCGCATATGACGTTTTTTCGTGTTGATCAATTTTCGGAGGAACCAATTGACCTAGGATCCCCAAAATACAGACTACCTACTTCTTTTATTTAAGAAGACGCCATATCGGACATCTACTGTTTTCGTCTTACAAACGCGAGACATAGCAAATTTGCATTTAGTATGACACATTTTGTGCAGTTAGTTTCAATATTAAAGCAAATTAACATATTACCAAACTTTGATAACCTAACCAAACCTGGCGTTGAGGTTTTTTCGATATTTAAATTTTTAATGCAAAACATAATCATTTTTATGTTGTGATATTTAACGTACTCGTGTATCAAATAAACATAAAAATATCGAATGATCATCAACGCTAGAGCACATCTTATTAAAACGTCTTACCCTTAATTTTGGTAATAGGTAATTTGCTATAATATTAAAACTAACCGCACAAAATGTGTCCCGCTGAACACAAATTTACCATGTCCCGCGTTTGTAAGACGGAGACAGTAGATGTCGGTGTGGCGTCCTCTTTAAACCACTAGCTAATCCCCACATACATTTTCGGGAGGGGGCACAGTCCCTTTAGCCCCCAAATAAATACGCCTCCAATATGTACATATATTAATTTGCTTCTATAATTTACACACCTATATTTAATAATGCATACAATTAATATTAGAATGGAATATAATATACTATTGATTTTGGGGAATGATATTTTCTTATTGGACTATTATAAGTTGGTAGGTACCTACATTTTGGGAAACCTTGAACAAAATTGTTGACAGGCACTCTACCAGTAGCCTATAATAATAATGATTATGCATTTATATTTATATAAAATTTAAAAAAATTACTTGTACGTAATATTATAATAACACAGCTTATTATAATCTTAAATAATAAAATATTTACAAAAATACCTTTAATTCTTCAATGAGAGCATCGTTTGGTAATTTGTACTTTGACTGAACTTCAATGCCATTCTTTTCGAGTAATTCTGCACAAGCAGAATCGCAAGCATCGCTGATGAGTACCTTCTTTATGGCTACACGTGGATTGGACATGTTTACGAATATACAATTGAATGCACGAGAAAAGAATGTTAGAGACTAGAGACTATTGTCTGTGAACTGCCACTGTAGTGGTCGAACTGGTTTTGAATGACGATTAGCGAGAGTGCTGTGGGTGATGCTATACTACTACAGCAATTCCTGATGAACCCACGAGCCAGCAATTTTATTGGTTTTCCTTATCAACATATTTAAAAAATACTAATTTGTCTGTACTTAATTTTAATTTGTGTTAAAATTTTTTTTTTATTTTATCATCGTTGATAAACTTAATCTTTTTTCTATTAATTTAGTGATTTAGTCTTTGACCTTAATATAGTAATTATTTGATTACCCACTATGTATAATATTGGTATATAATATGGCACCATACATATCGGTATATAATGTGGCACCATACAGAATAATTGAATGAAATGATTACATTATATCAATAAAGAGTTAAGTAACAAGCGATTATTATAAAAAAAAAAAAGTTATACTTGACAAAAAAAATATTCACTGGATAGGCATGAATAATACCTATTTATCTATGTATACATAATAATAGATATTATCTTATTTGTTTAGTTATCTTGTACACTTAAAAAATTTAAGATTTTCAGCTTACCCCCACTTATACATTTTGTCAAGATGCACTTGTTATTTTAGTAGATATACTAATAGAAATTAATATTTGTGCTATGTAAAAATGCTGGTAAAAACATCATACACCGATCCAAGCCATAAAATAAGCTTATTATTTCTAATGAAATGCAAATATACATTGAAAATAAATGAAAATATACAATATATTACCTGCTATTCTCACTACTAGTGGAAAAAAAAAGTATCATACCTATATAAATAAAAATATTTATTATTGAATAAAAAATTAGCCAACTTTAAAAAATTGTTTGTGTGTATGTTTATTAAACAGTAAACATAAATATATAAATTATAATTTTGATCATGTGCATTGCATATTATAAATAAATAAAAATGTATAGTTATTACATAAGTTAAAATCAAATAATACTGATTTTTATTGTTGATGAAACATATTTATGAGGAATATAATAGGCCTTTGCAACTTATACAGTACATTTTGTATAAATACCAAAATATATGTATTTTTGAATAGTCAAATGTTTTAATTACTATAATATTATAATTATTACTTTACATAAATACAAATAGTACTGTCAAACTAGGGACTTAATATAATTTGTAGACAAACAAATTATTGTTTTTTTTAATAAATACTTTATATCAAAATTTACACAAATTTTAATTTAGCTATGTATGTTATAGTAAATGTTTACTATAAAATTTAAAAAAAAAAACCACATTGCACTGTTGAAGATATATTCATTGAACATAATATCTAAAAGATCCTGTTTATGATTTGGTAGGAATTATGACGATAGTATATCTTATAGAAGTTAGATGTTATTTATCACAAAACTGTTTTCTACTTCATTATTTTGTTTACTGTCATTACAAAATGTCTCATTTTCTGTAACAATTGTATTTTCCACCACATCATTCACTTTATTATTTTGGTCAGTCTTTAAATGCGTTATACTATGTTGAGAATGGTCAATACCCATGACAAAACTAGTATATTCAGTATCGGTAACATTAGTTGGATCAAGTTTGGATAAAGTCGGAGATGATGAAACTAAATTGTTTTGACCCACTGTAGATAAATCCAAAAATATAAAATCTTCACTAACAGCCAATTTGTTGGCTTTAACTTCTTTATTACTTTCTGTTTCTGCTTTTGCCAGTTGTATATCTGTAAACTCAATCTTAGAAACAGGTTCTGATTTTTTTATTTTTTTGACATTAGGAGAACTAGTTTTTTGATTATTTTTCTTTGGGTATTTTTCAGGAGTTGTATTCAAATTCTTTGAAATAATTTTATTAACATTATTTGTTAATGTGATATTATCATTTAATTGTTTTTGTTTTCTTTTTAAAGTTTGCTTAATATTTGAATTCCTTTTTAGATTTTGAACATTACTATTAAAACATGTATTTACATTGACAATATTATTTTCCCGCCTGTTTGCCAAAATATTTTTTTCAAAAAAAACATTTGATTTAGGTTTAGGAGATTCAGGTACTTTAAAAACAGTTATATGAGGTAATTTTTTCAGCAGAGACATAATATTATTTTCTTCATCGTTAATTGGTGTTACAGGTATATCTTTTGAAATCATTAAATTGGATGAGAAATGTGGCTGAGACAGCATACCTCTAAAAAATAATAAATTAAATAAGTTGTAAAAAACATAATTAATATAAAGAATAACATTATGAATAGTTAATTTAAAATATTTAAATAAGTTTTAAATATTATTCATTATTTTATTATTACTTATTATATACTTACTATTTAATAATTCATCTTCGTATCCCCCTTGCCTATTTTTAATTTGTTTAAATATATTATTATAGTGCTTATATTATCAACTCAATTTCAAAAAAATATATGTAACATCAGGGCCGGCACAAGGCTAAACGACACCCCAGGAAATTTCATGCAAAAACCTATACCATAATATTAAAAAAAAATTATATATTATATTCAACAATTAATATGTACATTATTTGTTATCATCTAATAAAAAATTAATTTGTTATCGATTAAACGATAACAAATGTCGGGAATTTTTATATTTAAAGAGTAACATATTATATGATAAATATTCTATTCAAAACCATAGAATGTATACTTAAAATATACTTATATTATTTTAATCTATGACTAAATGAAATAATCATAATTATCAATGTTTCAGTACTAAGTTATGGGTACTTTATATATTCAAAACAATAATATTACTGACACAAATGTGTAAAATTGTAAAAAGCAATTTCGGTGCCCCCCTGAGAATGGAACCCTAGGTGACCGTCTGAGTTGCCTTACCCTTCACGTCGGCCCTGTATAACATAAAAATTATTATCGGTTTTATCTGTTAGTTATTTCATTACAAATAGACATTTTACAGATCATCATCTATGTAATATCATGTTACAGAATTAAAATGATATTCAATATTTTTCTTCTCGTGATATTGTGTTCTCTACAGTGTAATGTACCCCCCCCCCAATTTTTTAAGTATGAATAATAATTTTATAGGTAAAACCATTATATCATAAATTATCAGAAGAAAAAACAAGTATACTACTATTTTTTGAATAATTTTGATAAATCAACCCTTTTAATTATTCTGAAATATTTTTTTTTCGAGGTTGAAAATGGATTATACCTCATTTACTTATCAAGATAATGGTTATACTTGTATAAGGAGTTACACTACTTTAAATAATATTATTTTTACAATTATTATGGAATAAATAAGAAGAAAATACATATTTATATCATAAATTAATTTATGATATTTATATAAATTTAAAATTAGGAAATTTTAATTGTGTATTTAATGATTATAATATTGGTGTTATAGCGACTATAGTGTTATATTTATGTTATATAATGGATAACTAATAAAATTGTATGTGTTGTTACTCAAATAATCAGACTTTAGTTACTTAACAATTTTAGCATAAATTCTGATACAAACATCAACTATACCTTGTGTTTGTGTAAAGGTTTTATAATATTTGTTTTTGAAATTGCGGCATTCAATAAACAATATTAATTATGAGTAAAACAGTTAATATAAGAAAAACTAAAAGAATTGTTCAAAGTTGGAATTAGTTAATGATTTGTGGAATGAGAGGTAGCAATGCACAGAAAAGAAATACCACAAGCAAAAAAATCTATGATGAAGATTTTTAAAATTGACAAAACATAAATATATTAAATGTAAGATTTGTTATATTCAACAATATTTTTTTGATTTACATTTAAAAACATTTTTGATTATTATTTCTTATTTTTTCATATTTATTCCATACCTACTCATTCTATAACAGTTGTAAAAATAATTTTATTTTGGATAATTTTAAGTGAAGATTAATGGTATTGATTTATCAAAATTATCCAAAACTATTTACTTTTAAAGGCCCGAATGAGTGCTAAAATTTTGAATAATTAATTTGAAAAAAAGTAGTGTACTTGTTTTTACTTCTGATAATTTCTGATTTAATAATGTAAAAATTATTATTTATACAACAAAAACTACAATATTTTCTTAAAAACAATGCTCGTGATCCTAATAAATCTGCAAAAAAAAAAAAAAAAAAAAAAATTGGGGAACATTATTAACCTCTAACACAATATTATAAGAAAAATACTTAATGAATAAAAAAATTCTGTAACACTCTACCATGTAAATTAACAAAGTAATAATTTTTAAGAAATTCACCAAAACCTCAATCAAAACATAGTTGCCAATATAAAATTAAAATTAAAATATATATTATATTATATGTTAATTTACTATATAAATGAATAGTATTAATAGTAATACAATTTAGGATATTAAACACCTGTGTTGAGCGTAAAACAGGTCCCAATACGTTTTCTAAAATTATTAGGGAAAGTGCAAATAATTGATGAGGGAGATTATTCAATCTGCAGAATACATTATTGAAGAAAATAATATAGAAGGTACTCACTATTTAAAAATAAAAGTTAAAATTTATATAAACTGTTTATGCAAATTATAACAATATATCAACAGGATGTATTGTATAGTGTGTTTATGGTCTCAAGTACTTATATTATAATATTATTAAATTATTATGTATTTAGTGTTTAATAAACATAATTATTCAACACAATATTACTTTTTATCTTGATCCATTTTTTGTGGAAAAAATTTCAAATGATATGGAGACTGGAATGATTATAACATTTTTATTTTTACATATCTGTAACAGTAAATAAGAAATTATATGGGTATATTCAATTATTTTAATTAGTGCATCTACCAACATTTCAAATCATTATTATAATTGAAGCACTCTACACAATAGTGGCCTAACTCAATAAAATTTAAAAATAATGGAAATAGTTCTATTTTGTTAAGAATTTAAATATTTAACGCTGTCTTGGTCTATTTATGTTTTTCCCATTGTCCACTAGGTTGCAGCATTATATATTTTAGAGTATAGATAAATTAGTATCCTCTATTTATTGCAATACTGACCTATTCACATAGACGTGAAATAGGTTACAATAGATAATATAAGAATAGGTAAGCCATGAGAGTTTATCACAGAACATGTTTATAATTTGAGGTTACAAGGGGTTTATCAATAAAATTGTAAATTTGATCAAAAATAATCAATAGGTAGTTCATAATTCATTTTACTTTTATTTAGTATGAATTAAGCTAGTTAAACTTAATTAGTGCTTTAAAATCATATATAATCATTATTTATTATGTATTAATATTTTGATAAGAACATTTTAATTACATTATAATTAATAATTATATACCTATATAATACACAATTAAGAAAAAAAATTGTATATGTGTATAAACCACAACTCAGGTTTATGAAAATTTGGTATAATAATAGTAAGTACTCAATTCAATTTATTCATGTCTAAAATGTTTTCTAAGTTTCGTTAATTTAGCCGTGGTACGATTTTCTTTTATATCATCTTTAAACTTCAATATTTCTAATTTTGTGAAAAATACGATAATAACACGATATAAAATTGTATTAAAATACCTATTTGAAAAAAAATTCGAATACAAATACGTTGATTGATTTGTTGTCATTGTGCTATAAATATACTAATGATAAAACCCGTTGCTGTGTGATTGAGTCTCATTCGCATTTCGGAACTCGGTCCCTTATTATATTAATATAGGAGTGACCTATCCATTCTTACATTATCAAATATGGTTACTACGCAAAGTGGATTAATACTAATCACAATTAAAGATAATAATATACTGGTGGCCCGACGGGCCATGTTATAAGCGTTAACACACGCTACAATTGAAATTGCTCTCAGCTGCTTAACCAACTTGGTGCACTCTCTGTCCGTGAAAATAATGTTTTATTACAATAAATTACTAATATTATGTGAAATTATTGTATTCCCGCTTAATTCAAAAGCACACAACCATTACGAACACGACTAGAGATACAACCATAAGCGAATCTAGGATGTAATTATTATTTTTAGCGTTTTAAAAAAAAAAAAAAAAATGTACGCACGTTCAAAAGTATTTTCACGTTGAAATAGGTATTGTGTTTTTCATGAAAAATCATGTCGTGTTCTTTATCGTATAAAAGTTTAAAAACTAGTACGTTTGGGGTACCAAAGAAAATTCCTTTAAAGTTTAAACGGGAGAGAGATTTAGGTGTCACATCTGGAGAAAACTCATGTATGTCAATATCATTTTAATAATGAAGGCATTTAAATTTTTTAACACATGGGGGTATCTGGATGGACAAGGAATCAGCGAATATACAGTAATTATTTTATTAGTTTTTTATTTCGTGTCATCACAGACAATTGTTTTTTTTTTTAATAATAATGCTAAATATTCTTGAATAAAATACAATAATTTAATAAACATATTTACTGTATTCATTTTGTACTATAGTTTGTTAATTGTGATTGAAGTTTTAGTCATAATTATATTATATTATAATCGTAAATAGTATAAAATGGTACATTATCTTTAATTGTGATATTAATGAACCTTGTTACTATGATTATCAAAATAATATAGTACAATATCAAATTGTTAATAGTCCGTTATGATATTCATGATATATACGTATCTATCTTAAGATATACATATGTACCTTAATTTGTGGATAATTGTAATAAAATTAATGATTATTATTTATATGTATTGGAACTGATCTGAGGGAGGTTAAAAAGACCAAAACCAAGGTGAAAAAACTCTAATATATATATGATACAGCGAACCCGTACCTATTCATGTTGTTTATACATTCAGCAGCGTTATCAGGAATGACTGGGTGAAACCATTCAGTTCGGAAGTTGGTAAAACTTTCAGCAGGAAATCTTGTTTATTTCTAATTGGCTTCTCATACACCTAACACTAATACTTTTCTTTTGTACAATTTTGGAATATTAGAGGCAAAATAAGAGGTTAACCCAGTGGAGTATAATATACAGGGTGATTTTTAAACATGCTCACCTCATTTTTATAGTTAAATTAAGCATACATTTATGTGGCGGATTTGAGAGGGGGAGAGAGCGACGGTCTTTCCCCCCCTTGGGCCGAGTTTCTGTATGCAAATGTATATTATATGCACATATTTTAAGTGCAGTGTAATTATTATTAGCGATCAAAATTCAAAAGCTATAATGAGAGCTGGTCCTGATGGGTCAAATGAAGTAATATTAGTGTCTGGTAAAATGATTATGAAAAATATAGACTAGCGCCCATGTTTGGTGGTAAAAACTAACTGGTTTGATCACTAATTATAAATATTATAATTTTTCTTAATCATGATAATCATAATTCATAAGCTACAAGTATTAATGCAATTTGTATCAAGAAATACTATAGATTGAATAATATTAAAGAGTTGGTTCCTCAGATGAATGAAGTTATTAATGAAATTACATTTTTCCCAAATATTTCAAAGTCAATGTTAATCTCAGAGGTGGAATTATGATTAGAAAGATGGAAACATTTAACATCTAAAAGTCATTTTTTATCAATTAGTATTTAAAATATTGTTGATCACTAAATTATAGTAATGATTGTACAATACATATAATCAATATTTACTTTCATTTTTCAGGCAATAAATCTGATAACATTTTTACAGCCTTAGATGAATGTGCTGCTAATATTTAGGTACCCAATTGTAAGATGTTTGCTATTATGCTTTGTACTTAGCCCTGTAGGCATTGCATCAGCTGAAAGAAGTTTTTCTACCTTACGCCGGTTAGATTATTTTAACATTTCGAAGAGGTTGTAGTTTGAAGAAAAATAATGGTATTAAACCGTTTAAAAATATTTAAGCGTGTTTATGCCATTTAAATAAATAGGTAGCTGTTGTTTTATAATACATTTATGTTCAAGCATTTCTTAGTAGGTACTATTATAGTTTACTTTTACTAATAATTATTTTGCAGTTTTTAGTTGATTGCTTCAAGATTTAATATTATTAGATTGAAAACCTGGTTCCAGGCAAAAATGGGCAAAGAAAGGTTGACTGGTTTGGAGCTTCTACATATCCATAGAGATATAGAATTAAATGTGGATGATATTATAAACAGATTTGCTAAAGAAAAAAAATGTATGGATTTAATTTTATAAATGCACGAGTTCTTCATTTTAATTTAACTAACTATAATTATGAATTTTAATAAAAATATTAATATTAATATTGTTTAAGTTGTTTTGTCAAAATTAAATTGAATTAAATTTAAACAGGTAAGGTTTAATTTGTGAAAAATGTATCATCTACCTCATTATATAAATAAATTGTAACAAACTTTATACATAATTCAGTAAGTACAACATGGAAAAAAAAAACCTCACTTAAATACAAAAAAAAAAAAAAAACAAAAAAATTGCCCCCCCCTTGGATAGGCCACTGATTTAAATTTTGATTTTTGTAATTTTAAGTGCAGTGAACGACAATACTTAAATTTTCACAACGTTTAAATAATATCCTTTGGTTTTTTCAAATGGAGTCCTGCCTTTTTTTGATGTAAATTGTTAATCAAATGATTTTTCTGAAAATGTTGACATATGATTATCGAAATTTGAACAAAAAGTTTCTAAGTTATTCTGCTTTTAATACTACGAATAATAATAGCCTTTTAAGGGGATTGGATAAGGGTTATTTCATTGTAGGTACATAAATAATTTCTTATTTTGAATAGTGTTTAAATCAAAGTAAAATAACGTGTTCAATTTTCGATTACAATACGTCAACATTTTGAGAAAAATCCGATTGGCAATTAGCATGTAAACGTGTAGGTTCACGTTTTAAAAACTAAAATTGTTATCGCCACGGGATACTTAAATGTTATGAAAAATCTAAATATTCAAAAATATCGTTTCTTTCACAATGCTCAACAATTTCAAAAATCAGAATTTGAATTTATGCATAATTATACTATAAAAATGGGTTGAACATGCTAAACAATTTTCTCAATCACTAAATTAAATCACTCTGTATATTATAAAAATTTAAAAAAAATAGATGATGGGGGGGGGATAAATATATCCCCTCGTTTGACCGCCACTGTACCTTCCTATATTTATCTATCGAGTGATATACCTAGTGGTTTATGCGTAAATGACGACATCACGTTTATTATGATTGACAACATCACGTTTATTATTACCTACCGGTTAATTCGTTCATTATTGCATACTGGTGTCATGACACATGGAATGCTAAAATAGAATATTACGAATCAGTTATTTTGATTTCCCATTTTTCAAGACTACCGTCTACTTATCTAATCCAATTAGATACCTAGCTCGCTTATTTCGTCGGATTAACCGCGTTTATTACAAAATGAAAAATAGGTACGTACATTAAACAGGAATACTATACAGTATCTTTCTTTATATATATTTTTTTAAAACACGAGTGAATACGAAAATCAAAACTCACTTTTGAAGGGGTACACGAAACTGTTTTCGAATGCCTGGTAATCAATTTTTGTACTTGATTATTGAGAGAAAAAAAAAAATCGTTTTCAAATGACGAAAAACGGTCGACGCTGAAACTAGCTTAGATGGACGGGCTGACAGTGGCAGTGTGCACGGCGACGCCTTGGCGGGGAGGGGACGGGACCTAGGACGCTAACCGAAAGTCATCGATGGATCATCATGGAAAATATTATTCGTAAATTTCGGTACGGTTTTTTCGTCCATTCTCGCAACACCATTTGTCCACAGGGAAATACTCTGTGCCTACTCCGAACACGGTCACCCGACGACCTAAGCTAACCAGACTACCAGTAATCAACTAACCCATCATAACCCGCCGTCGCAGACATTCTATATTTCTATCGTCTGCGGTAGTGCGGTACACGGCGCGTCAACATTGTCAAATGTCACGGGTGCCCGTGGTGCTCTCTATGTGCGCCTCGCGAGGCTGAATAACTTTTACCATTATTAATTGACTAATTGTACACAATTTAGTACATGCTTATGAGTGTTATTAAATCCGCCGCAGTTACGCGATTACTTTTATTATGATAGTACTGTTAATAGGCCGTTTATTGTTTCATAAGGGGGAGACTCTAATTTTCTGACCGGATTTTATTGACCAGACTAAACTGCTCCGACCCGGGCCCCTCGTTTTCCGACCATTGAACACATGTGTATTGCTGATTTAAGAACGATGATGAAGTCAAAATTAAGCGGACTAAGTTTCGAAATTATAGCTTTTTGAAGTTCTGATATTATGCAGGTATTATATGTTATGTTAAATAATTCTATATTGCTCTTAATAACTCTATATCTTCAAGCACATTTGTCGTGAACAAATTGTTATTTATGCTTATTTCAATCCTAGGGGTTCCAAGTTCAAACCAATGTGTCAAATTTAAAATTGTTTGCATTTGTTTTTATATTTTATCTAAATAAAGAGAAAACATATGTAATTTTGATGTACCTAGAGACCCAAGTCATCGCTCCCTCGGATTATTTTAATCGCAAAATTCCCCTCGATTTGTTGTGCAAACTTTCCTACCAGAAACCATACTCCGATGTATCAAGTGTAACTTATTTTCTGAAAGGAAATTTTATTTCTACGGTAATTTTGAGAAGTCGATTTTTGATTTTTCAAACGATTTTTATAATGTCTGGATGAAACCGGGATAAAATGACGGAAAACGGAAAATATACGAAATGTAGGTATTAATAAAAAAATTCTATGGCCTTTTTTTCTGTATATAATTTTTCTACTAGCAATTTCGCTCCAATTTGAAATGATAGCACATTTTCTGAACGAAAATCTGATTGGAAAGGTACTTTAAGAAGACAATTTTTAGATTTTCTCAAGAGTTTTCGAATTTAAACAAATATTATTAAAGATAGTAAATAATGAGTATTTTATTTTTTTATCATGCCATATATATATATATTGTTGACAAAGTATCACCATCAACTGTACTGCGCTCAGAATCGTTTTTCGTTAGCAATGGTTTATCGTTGATTACAGATATACATTAAATTGCCTATAACAGTGGTTGCACCCGTCTCCATTATCCTAGGACTTTTTATTTTTTTATTTTTTAAAGTTAAACGTTTATTAAAACTATTAAAACTATACTAAACTAATATAATATCATCAATATTAATCAACCGATATTGGTAGGCGGTGATCGGTGTTTGAATAATCGCGACGGTTATCGACTATCGAGCCGCGTGTACAAAGCCGGTCAAAACAATGGGTTTGATATTAGCCGACCGCAGCGAACGTTCGCCTAAAATTAAACAGGAGCGATTTCTTGCGATTGTTCGCGACTTGTGTCCGGGCGATTATTTTCGTCTGAATACGTTGACTAATATAGCTATTTAATTTTGAAAGAATGTTCACGGCGATTTTGAAACATGCCATTTGAATGACCCATGTGTAATTGTAGGCGGTTATCCGCTGCGTATCCAAACCGCTCCGTGTGTGATCAGCTTTAGAGTTTAGACTATAAGTAGGTACTTATAATATGACGATATAATCGATAACATTAAATGATAACGATAGTGATATAATATGATGACTTATTCACTCAAAATGCCCACAATTGCCCACCTATTTTGGTGTAAATTAATTGATTAATTAAGCATGTGCTTTGATAATAAACCTTCCCGCCACCACTGCTGGCACACAAAACAAAATATATAAGCTTACACTGCTATTTTTATCTGTATCCTATATTTATTAGCAAATGCTATAAAATCCGAGCCCTGGTTATAGTATTAATAAAAAACTATAACAATCAGAGTCGTTGGAGCTGTAGTTTTTTTTTTTTTTGTTTTATCTAAATATTATAAAATTATGTCGTGAATGTCAAAATACAATTGTATACTTTTATTACATTTATTATGATACAAATTATCGGTACCTACATTGTATGTGTTTCATCAAATGTTAATTGTGTTATTATTGATGTATTACCTTATTATAAATTTCAAACGCACGGTCCTCCGCGGTATCGGAAATGTATATGTATTATATAATACGCAAATGTATACATTGCGTGGTCTAAATGACGCCACTAGACTTGTTCTACATATATTTTATTAGATTACTTAATACGGGAATTGTATACGTGCAGCCGACAATTTCTTTCTTTTCCGACACATACACAGCATAACAGTTATAAATTAGAAATCCAGTTCCTTCGAATCATTTCGGTCGATAAGTGAAACGATAATTCAGTGATTCGGCGATAATTGTGTCTGGATTCGGTGCATAGAAAAAAAAAAATGTTCTGTTATTTTTCTTGTGATATTTTTAATAATTGGGGAAAAATGGAAATATGTATGTTTCAAACGGTATCTGTTATTTTTTAATTTTGTATTTTGTTGTAACGCGGTTAGAATTAATCGTAGGCTTGAAATTTTCACCGAATAATATTATTAGCCCGTTCTAGACGCGATTTTCAAATTGAATATTTTTGAGCTTCCTAATTGTCATTTACAACAGTGGTCATCACATAGGTTCTTAGTTTTCAAGTTATTAACGATTGCCGATTGGTAATCCAATAGAAACTGCATTATTTCAAAATTAAACTTATTATGAAAGACAATCTCGTTGATTTTTTTTTCGGTAAATAATTAGGTATATAATATTATGATCACTCTACGTCTCTGCGTCCTACGAATGCTACGACGACAAGATGATTCTGATTCGTTAAAAAGTTAGATTAGGTTAGGTTATTTAATTTCTAATAATATGTTTGAATTCAGATTTTAGTTTTTGATTAATTTGTCTGATAATATCAACTGTACACATTAATTCATCAATACCGTTCAATATTGAATAAGTGATCATACACTGCACCCATAATAATAATAATAATAATAATAATAATAATAATAATATTATTATTACATAATACTGAATGAAATTCATGAAATATAGGAGGGGGTACTGTCCTAAAGCCCCACCTGTATGTACCAATGTATCAAAAGTATAATGTTGCATTGCCAGTTCTATAATTATAACGCGATTAAAAATCTTGAAATGATGTGCGACACATATTTTTTTTTTATACAATAAATAACAATTATTTGCGGTAAACCGTCGATAAATTTAATGAGTATATCTATTTATCATTATTTTATTATTTTCGGTCTGACTGTATTGTTATCAGCAGTTATTTCATATTATAATTTTATTTTTCGTATTTATCGGGTCTCACATTCTATAGATATATATATATATACCTATTGTTGATATTTAACCGAAAATCAACCGCTAAAGTTTAAAAACTCGATAAGAGTTATATAACATTTGTAATATACTATGAAAAGTACGACATTGACTAAGTATATACCCAGTTAAATGTGTTACTATTTATTAGAAGAGCTCGGATTTCGGTTTAGATTTTGTAGCATTGGCTAATTACTATAGGATACAGATAAAAATAGATGGGCAAACTAAATATTTGTTTTATGCATCAGCGATTTTAAATACGTACACTTATATATTATTGTATACTTAAAACATTTTAAATGTTTTTAATTTTTTAAATTTGTTACTTTTGCTTATACATATAGGTTTATACGAGTATAATATTTTCTATTAAATATGAAATATTATTTTGTTTTTAATAAATTTCATTTGAATTGCATACATTTCTTCCAGATAATTTTGAATAGTTTCATTCAATTGGTGTCTTTGTTCAAGTTTGTTTCAGTCTATTTTTTCAAGTATTTATTAATTTAAAATTACTGAAATTTAGTTCATTTAAGTAATGTATAAATGTAAAAGGCAAGTGACAAGCTCGAATTTTCTTACAACTACATAAAATCGCAGTTGTAATTGTAAATGATCTTTGGCCTCCCATCGATAATAAAACGTTTTGGTTGTGGTGGAAGTATGTGCGTAATGAAATTTTTTAGAATATATCTAAAGCATTCTTGAAATTTGGCATTTTGCACAGAGGTTCCGTATATAATATTAATGTAGGTGTTCAATAAAAAAGGATTTATGTGAATTCAATCATTTAAGGTGGCACATTTCCTTGTTCATTAAAAAATTCCAGATCCTAATACAAAGTTCCACAATGTTCCAAACTCGGGAGTGGAATACATTTGAATATTCTAAACATTTTGGAAAACTGATTTTTAGATATTGAGTGTAGCGAAAAAGCTTATTAAGATGTTATTTTTTTTCACAGAAAACATAATTTCGGTTAATAACAATATGCTGTTGATTAATATTGAAATATGTATAATATAACATAATATGTATTTCAGTACAGGAGTACCGTAGATAATGGAGCTATTACAAAAAACTAAATTTCAATCTTGAGCCGTCTACAGGTTGAGATATTTAGTGGTAAAAATATACTATAGTGGTACTGTATATATGAAATATAGTGAAGAATATTGGACAATAATTTAAATATGAATTTTCCCTTTCCAGATACGTGCCTGAACTACCTTATATCCTTTACGTTCTCAACTTTCCACCTACAATAGTGGTCTATGGTGCGAAGTATGTAAGTATTTCCGATTTTTTACTTATTTAGTTTTCAAAAATTATTGTAATTTTTCAATGTGTGTGAAAATAATCAACATAAGAAATAGCTTATAAACAAATTGTGTATATATATATAGATACTTAATTGGACATTAAACTTTTTGACAAAGCCATCTCAATACAATAAAATAAATAATGCGAGCCATTATAGCGATTAGTTGTAAAGGACAATAATAATATCCGCGTATTCACGTAAATACGTATATGTTACGGTACATCTATAACTTAACTGAACACCCATAATTGACACTTAAAACTTTAGTTACGGCCCGTCAGAATAAACTTATGCGACAAACGTTCATTCGGCATTCAACCAGATTTGATTTATGTTTTCGGGAATCTTATATAGTAATGAGTAATGACTAATGATGTATAAAGAGGTATTTTAACCTACAGAAAATATAATTTGTATAATAGTAGAGTGGGCGTGGCAATAGTGATTTTTAAGAGCCATGACCCGACGTGTATTTTTGGGCCGTCGGTTGGTGAGTGCAGATGGGTCACAACTTCCAAGCAAATAAAACAATTAACTGTGATTATATGAAATAATTTATAACAAAAAAAATATAGTAAATAAATATATAAATAAAAAATTAATTAATTAATAAATGCATCGCCTGGAGTATTATGATAAGTGTATTATACGACCAGTTTTCGAATTAAAAATTCATTATCAGGTATATCACAGTCAAAATGTAAAACGCTACTGAATATAGAAAATTAAATGAAGGAATAAATAGGAAAAAAATAACTATACAAATTGGTCGTTTTACATAGAAATGAGAGATTATTTAAAATGGATTATTATTAGACATGGATATGTTAAGAATTATAAATTATTTGGTTATTATTTATTATCTAAAATATATTGATAGGTATTATTTTTAAAATCGGTTTGTACATTTAAAATATTGTTAAAATTTGTTTTTCATTTTATTTCATTGTATATATGTAATTCTTCTAAAACTGAATTAATGTAAATGTTATTTTGGATAAAATATATACAATGAATAAAGAAAAAAAATTGTAATAATATTTTAAATGTACAAACCGATTTTAAAAATAATATCTTATATCAATACATTTTAGATAATAAAATGTGCTACATACATAATAAAATAATTTATATTTCTTAACATACCTATGTCTAATAATAACCCATTTTAAATAAATTATTCCTATGTAAAACGACCAATTTGTATAATTAATTTTTTCCTATTTATTCCTTCATTTGACTTTTTACAATCAGCCGCGTTTTACATTTTGACTGTGATATATCCGATGATGAATTTTTAATTCGAAACCGGTCGTATCATCACGTACCGGTCACTTATCACAATACTTCAGGCGATGCATTTATTCATTTATTTATTTTTATTTTTAAATATAATTTCTTTTATTTATATATTTATTTACTAGTATTAACCATTTTAATAATTTTGTTTTTAATTTATTATTTCATAATTTATAACAACTCTAATGACATAAAAATTAAAACAGGGGTCTTCTTTTCGTGTTC